TTTGGAAAATGTCAGTTTTTGGCTGAAAAAACCCGACAGGCGCGCGCCTGTGGAAAAATCTCAATTTTGGGCAGTTTTGGGCAATCTCCATTTTTGCTCCAAAATGTCAGATTACACATCTAGATTACCTACTCTACATCTACAGTGTCCATTCATGTGTAAAACAATTGTCTGGGACTCAATGTGAAGTGGTAGGACACCAAAAGTTGTTGGGAAAATTTCTTAGTAAAATCTGTTTTTTTCCTCATTTGCCTATCTCCTTTTCTGCCACCAATTTGCTCCAAAATGCTCAACTACACCTCTAGAGTATCTGCTGAAGTGTGCAATGATAGTCTGAGACAAAATTTTTAACTTTTGGAAAATGTCAGTTTTTGGCTGAAAAAACCCGACAGGCGCGCGCCTGTGGAAAAATCTCAATTTTGGGCAGTTTTGGGCAATCTCCATTTTTGCTCCAAAATGTCAGATTACACATCTAGATTACCTACTCTACATCTACAGTGTCCATTCATGTGTAAAACAATTGTCTGGGACTCAATGTGAAGTGGTAGGACACCAAAAGTTGTTGGGAAAATTTCTTAGTAAAATCTGTTTTTTTCCTCATTTGCCTATCTCCTTTTCTGCCACCAATTTGCTCCAAAATGCTCAACTACACCTCTAGAGTATCTGCTGAAGTGTGCAATGATAGTCTGAGACAAAATTTTTAACTTTTGGAAAATGTCAGTTTTTGGCTGAAAAAAACCCGACAGGCGCGCGCCTGTGGAAAAATCTCAATTTTGGGCAGTTTTGGGCAATCTCCATTTTTGCTCCAAAATGTCAGATTACACATCTAGATTACCTACTCTACATCTACAGTGTCCATTCATGTGTAAAACAATTGTCTGGGACTCAATGTGAAGTGGTAGGACACCAAAAGTTGTTGGGAAAATTTCTTAGTAAAATCTGTTTTTTTTCCTCATTTGCCTATCTCCTTTTCTGCCACCAATTTGCTCCAAAATGCTCAACTACACCTCTAGAGTATCTGCTGAAGTGTGCAATGATAGTCTGAGACAAAATTTTTAACTTTTGGAAAATGTCAGTTTTTGGCTGAAAAAAACCCGACAGGCGCGCGCCTGTGGAAAAATCTCAATTTTGGGCAGTTTTGGGCAATCTCCATTTTTGCTCCAAAATGTCAGATTACACATCTAGATTACCTACTCTACATCTACAGTGTCCATTCATGTGTAAAACAATTGTCTGGGATGAAAGACAAATTATTATAGAATACATCTAAACTATTTATTGCAACAATCAAATATTAAAATGACACCCCATTCTAGGATGTTAGACATACATGATGATTTCTGACACCTGGAGGTTGGGGAAGGGGGGGGGGGGGGGGGCGCGCTACGTGGTCTTGAGGCATGGTATCCACCTCGCGTGCTAGAGGTCCCGGGTTCAATCCCAGGTAAAAGGATTGTTTCACGTACACTTCTAGTAATTCTCCCGGTCTCTGGGTAGTAGGATCAGACGCCCGTGTGCATTGTTGCACACGTAAAAAATCCCTTAGCAATTGGAAATCTTACTTCTGTACTTGATTGTATACTTATCTAACTTCTGTACTTGATTGCATACTTATCTAACTACTGTACTTGATTGCATACTTATCTAACTACTGTACTTGATTGCATACTTATCTAACTACTGTACTTGATTGCATACTTATCTAACTACTGTACTTGATTGCATACTTATCTAACTTCTGTACTTGATTGCATACTTATCTAACTACTGTACTTGATTGCATACTTATCTAACTACTGTACTTGATTGCATACTTATCTAACTACTGTACTTGATTGCATACTTATCTAACTACTGTACTTGATTGCATACTTATCTAACTACTGTACTTGATTGCATACTTATCTAACTTCTGTACTTGATTGCATACTTATCTAACTACTGTACTTGATTGCATACTTATCTAACTTCTGTACTTGATTGCATACTTATCTAACTACTGTACTTGATTGCATAGTTATCTAACTACTGTACTTGATTGCATACTTATCTAACTACTGTACTTGATTGCATACTTATCTAACTACTGTACTTGATTGCATACTTATCTAACTACTGTACTTGATTGCATACTTATCTAACTTCTGTACTTGATTGCATACTTATCTAACTACTGTACTTGATTGCATACTTATCTAACTACTGTACTTGATTGCATAGTTATCTAACTACTGTACTTGATTGCATACTTATCTAACTACTGTACTTGATTGCATAGTTATCTAACTACTGTACTTGATTGCATACTTATCTAACTACTGTACTTGATTGCATACTTATCTAACTACTGTACTTGATTGCATACTTATCTAACTTCTGTACTTGATTGCATACTTATCTAACTACTGTACTTGATTGCATACTTATCTAACTTCAGTACTTGATTGCATACTTATCTAACTACTGTACTTGATTGCATAGTTATCTAACTTCTGTACTTGATTGCATACTTATCTAACTTCTGTACTTGATTGCATACTTATCTAACTACAGTACTTGATTGCATACTTATCTAACTTCTGTACTTGATTGCATAGTTATCTAACTTCTGTACTTGATTGCATACTTATCTAACTACTGTACTTGATTGCATACTTATCTAACTACTGTACTTGATTGCATACTTATCTAACTACTGTACTTGATTGCATACTTATCTAACTACTGTACTTGATTGCATACTTATCTAACTACTGTACTTGATTGCATACTTATCTAACTACTGTACTTGATTGCATACTTATCTAACTACTGTACTTGGTTGCATACTTATCTAACTACTGTACTTGATTGCATACTTATCTAACTACTGTACTTGATTGCATAGTTATCTAACTTCTGTACTTGATTGCATACTTATCTAACTTCTGTACTTGATTGCATACTTATCTAACTACTGTACTTGATTGCATACTTATCTAACTTCTGTACTTGATTGCATACTTATCTAACTACTGTACTTGATTGCATAGTTATCTAACTACTGTACTTGATTGCATACTTATCTAACTACTGTACTTGATTGCATACTTATCTAACTACTGTACTTGATTGCATACTTATCTAACTTCTGTACTTGATTGCATACTTATCTAACTACTGTACTTGATTGCATACTTATCTAACTTCTGTACTTGATTGCATACTTATCTAACTACTGTACTTGATTGCATAGTTATCTAACTACTGTACTTGATTGCATACTTATCTAACTACTGTACTTGATTGCATACTTATCTAACTTCTGTACTTGATTGCATACTTATCTAACTACTGTACTTGATTGCATACTTATCTAACTACTGTACTTGATTGCATACTTATCTAACTACTGTACTTGATTGCATACTTATCTAACTTCTGTACTTGATTGCATACTTATCTAACTACTGTACTTGATTGCATACTTATCTAACTACTGTACTTGATTGCATACTTATCTAACTACTGTACTTGATTGCATACTTATCTAACTACTGTACTTGATTGCATACTTATCTAACTTCTGTACTTGATCAGCACCACAGCTATCCAATTCTAAGAATTCACCCGCCTTCTCTATTTAATTAGTCCTTATTTGAGACAGTTTATCTAAATAATTTAGATTTTATGACCATTTTGCGTGACACGTCACATTTTAGAATAACCGGCACAGCCAATCAAAACAGGGACAATCCGATTTAAACTTTTTGTTCAACTTTATCCCAACCCATATTGTCGGGGTCTAAGTCATCACTAGAATTACCTTTTTTTTTCTTCATTTAACCACCGCTGCATAAGATCTAACATAACATAACCCTTGACCCATTAGGGTCGTAGAGGTGTATTGATGGAAGCACTAGTACATAAAACCCGCCATCTTTCTCTGACTTCCGGTTGATGAATAAGTGTATGGTAACTTAGTATTGTCCATTTCTTGATTTTATCATTCCATGTTTTTCTTTGCCCTCTTCTTTGACTTCACTCCAATGTTCCTTGAAGTGCAGTCTTTGCAATCGAATCATGTCTCACCACGTGCCCAAACCAAGCTTGTGACGTTTCACCTATGCCAAGAGAGGCTCCTGATGTCCCGCAAATTTGTATATTTTGTCTCTGACATATTTATTTATTTTTGTGCTCTAAACAACTAATAAATCAAATGTGATAAGATCTAAAGCTGAGATTGAGTCATTCTTTGAGCTTTCTCTACAGCGGATGCTGAATAGTCGGAAGCTCTCGTTTTAGGAAAATCACACAGTAAAACTGCATCGCACCTACTATTCAACTGGCGGCCCCGAAGGCCAGATTTGGCCTAGCAAGTGGCCTGCGGATCATAGCTTCATGTATGGTATTAATAATCAGGCCTCTGGTAGGTGATGATCCCCATTTTTAAATAGTGGCCCTTGTGTAAACTTAGTGGCAAAACCCTGGTTTAGGGCTATCATATAATATTCTCATAGGCAGCAGTGGATATACTGAAACCAACCTCCATTGTCATCATCATCATCATGTTTCCCCTCTACTGGCGTAGACGCTCATGCGTCTAAATAGATCACGATCCCTGGTTGCGTGCAACAGCTCTCTTGATGATATCTCTCCATGCCAATGTTTCAGCCCATCCAGCATCGTCTCTCTTGGTCTGCCTCTACCCCTTCTTTTACTGATCTTTCCAGTTGTCACGATGTTCTCCAATGTCTCTCTTCTCCTTATATGGCCAAAAAACAGTGTTTGTCTAGTTCTTTTTGTTTTATATACAGATTTAAAGGTTTCATAACATTTATCTCAAAAACCACATTTCTGTTGCTTCCAAATTCTTCCTTTTTTTCACTGACATTCCAAAATTTGCTGCCATATAGCAGAACCTCCATTGTGGAGACGGAAGAATAACTCGCCAACAATAAATACCTTCAGATATAATCCAGCAACAGAAACAATTCAAAAATAAACAAAATCCGACTTACCGACATAAACATGTCAAGATTCTCTTTGACAAAATCCACAATCCACGTAATCTGGAATATACCCTTGCCGCTGCTGATCGTCTGCCAGAGGGAACCTATGGAGGTCAACTCCTGCAGTCCAGGCTTCGCTACGGCACTTGTGTTTGTCTGTTGATTACAGAAGTGGTTGCTGAGTTCACACACGGGCCGTAGTACTGGTGTTGGCAGACTGCTTACATTGTACAAATTTTACTGGGGGCACCCTTACTCACAGTTAAATCACCATAGCAAACCATATCAACAGCCAAGCTTAACAACTTGGAACATGATGATGATGATGATGATGACAACATTGATGATGATAATGATGATGATAGTTGATGATGATGACGATGACGACAATAATGATGATGATGACAATGCATTGAGTACAAGCACAAACGTAATTTTCCAAACTAATCCTCACTGTACCAGGGTTCATTACCACGGCTTCAAAGTGACTGCATCTGCCTGAGAGATAAGGAACCAAAAGTCTGCATTCAAAAAAAGTTGGATCTGTAAAAATGGATGTGCATGCAAAACTCAAGTTCTGGAATAAGTCCAGAAGTGGATGAACAACCAGAACTTTCCGCCAGAGTTTACAGCTGGTCAGAGTGAAAAATATATAGGAAGCATGTTTACGGAGGATTGCAGACTCGAAAGAGAGATAGAAGCCAGAGTACAGAAGGCAAATGCTGTCAACTACCAGTCAGTCCCACTGCTCAGACACCCAAACGTCTTCCTTCCAGCAAAACAGCAAACGATTAAAAGCATTTTCATCCCTAATTTATTGCTATCAGTGCCAAACATGGACAATGAATAAGGCACTAGGGCAAAACAAACTACATATGAAATACAGTCTCCGCAAGGTCACTAACAACACAAGAATACCAGCATTAGAGGAAAAGCTGGAATAAGACCATGTCTGGATTATACTGACAAAGAATGAAATGGTTCAGCCATGTAGTGAGAGACTTTTTACAGCAGAACATCTAAGAGGAAGGCAAAGGGTAGACCAGGGAAGAGATGGATAAATGTTGTAGCCCAAACCTGCAAAAAAGTGAACAAATCCATCCCCCAAGCCACCCAAGAAGGGCAAGACAAATACAGAAAACTACGACACTGGGCTACAACCTGTTATCAGTGAGATGACAAAAGAAGAAGAAGAAGAGGGCAAAGAAGAAGAAGAAGATTCCAACAGTGAACTTTCACTTGCTGTTTTTGATTGTGATAAACTGAAGCTAATTAAAGTTTTACTTTTTGTTTAATTCTGAAATCTTTTTCTGATACTCACAGTTAAAGGCACACACCTACAGTCCCAAACACACTCTCCTACAGTGTCAAGTACACATTCTCTTACAGTGCTAAACATACATTCGCTTACAGAACCAAACACACTCTCCTACAGTGTCAAGTACACATTCTCTTACAGTGCTAAACATACATTCGCTTACAGAACCAAACACACTCTCCTACAGTGTCAAGTACACATTCTCTTACAGTGCTAAACATACATTCGCTTACAGAACCAAACACACTCTCCTACAGTGTCAAGTACACATTCTCTTACAGTGCTAAACATACATTTGCTTACAGAACCAAACACACTCTCCTACAGTGTCAAGTACACATTCTCTTACAGTGCTAAACATACATTCTCTTACAGAACCAAACACACTCTCCTACAGTGTCAAGTACACATTCTCTTACAGTGCTAAACATACATTCTCTTACAGAACCAAAAAAAAACACTCTCCTACAGTGTCAAGTACACATTCTCTTACAGTGCTAAACATACATTCTCTTACAGAACCAAACACACTCTCCTACAGTGTCAAGTACACATTCTCTTACAGTGCTAAACATACATTCTCTTACAGAACCAAACACACTCTCCTACAGTGTCAAGTACACATTCTCTTACAGTGCTAAACATACATTCTCTTACAGAACCAAACACACTCTCCTACAGTGTCAAGTACACATTCTCTTACAGTGCTAAACATACATTCGCTTACAGAACCAAACACACTCTCCTACAGTGTCAAGTACACATTCTCTTACAGTGCTAAACATACATTCGCTTACAGAACCAAACACACTCTCCTACAGTGTCAAGTACACATTCTCTTACAGTGCTAAACATACATTCGCTTACAGAACCAAACACACTCTCCTACAGTGTCAAGTACACATTCTCTTACAGTGCTAAACATACATTCGCTTACAGAACCAAACACACTCTCCTACAGTGTCAAGTACACATTCTCTTACAGTGCTAAACATACATTCGCTTACAGAACCAAACACACTCTCCTACAGTGTCAAGTACACATTCTCTTACAGTGCTAAACATACATTCGCTTACAGAACCAAACACACTCTCCTACAGTGTCAAGTACACATTCTCACATTCTCTTACAGTGCTAAACATACATTCGCTTACAGAACCAAACACACTCTCCTACAGTGTCAAGTACACATTTTCTTACAGTGCTAAACATACATTCGCTTACAGAACCAAACACACTCTCCTACAGTGTCAAGTACACATTCTCTTACAGTGCTAAACATACATTCGCTTACAGAACCAAACACACTCTCCTACAGTGTCAAGTACACATTCTCTTACAGTGCTAAACATACATTCGCTTACAGAACCAAACACACTCTCCTACAGTGTCAAGTACACATTCTCTTACAGTGCTAAACATACATTCGCTTACAGAACCAAACACACTCTCCTACAGTGTCAAGTACACATTCTCTTACAGTGCTAAACATACATTCGCTTACAGAACCAAACACACTCTCCTACAGTGTCAAGTACACATTCTCTTACAGTGCTAAACATACATTCTCTTACAGAACCAAACACACTCTCCTACAATGTCAAGTACACATTCTCTTACAGTGCTAAACATACATTCGCTTACAGAACCAAACACACTCTCCTACAGTGTCAAGTACACATTCTCTTACAGTGCTAAACATACATTCTCTTACAGAACCAAACACACTCTCCTACAGTGTCAAGTACACATTCTCTTACAGTGCTAAACATACATTCTCTTACAGAACCAAACACACTCTCCTACAGTGTCAAGTACACATTCTCTTACAGTGCTAAACATACATTCGCTTACAGAACCAAACACACTCTCCTACAGTGTCAAGTACACATTCTCTTACAGTGCTAAACATACATTCGCTTACAGAACCAAACACACTCTCCTACAGTGTCAAGTACACATTCTCTTACAGTGCTAAACATACATTCGCTTACAGAACCAAACACACTCTCCTACAGTGTCAAGTACACATTCTCTTACAGTGCTAAACATACATTCGCTTACAGAACCAAACACACTCTCCTACAGTGTCAAGTACACATTCTCTTACAGTGCTAAACATACATTCGCTTACAGAACCAAACACACTCTCCTACAGTGTCAAGTACACATTCTCTTACAGTGCTAAACATACATTCGCTTACAGAACCAAACACACTCTCCTACAGTGTCAAGTACACATTCTCTTACAGTGCTAAACATACATTCGCTTACAGAACCAAACACACTCTCCTACAGTGCCAAAAAAACATTTCATACAGCGCCAAACACTCTCCTACAGTCCCAAACATGCTCTCCTACAGTGACAAACATTCATTCTCTTACAGTGCCAAACACACTCTCCTACAGTGCCAAACACACTCGCACTGACTCCTTCAGTGACAAACAGACATTCTCCTATAATGCCAAACGCATATTCTCGTACAGTGCCAAACACACACTCTCTTACAGTGCCAAACATACATTCTCGTATAGTGCCAAACCGACATTCTCCTACAGTGCCAAACACACATACTCCTACAGTGCTTAACACACACTCTCTAACAGTACCAACAAAATCCAAAACTTACGTTCCTAAGGTTATTATCAAACGTACCATCAATGCAAAACATACATTCCTACTATCACAAACGCACATTCCTACAGTCCCAGCCATTCTAGGTCCCAAACACATATTTCCAGTGCCAACCACACATTCCCAGGCCCAACCAAACATTCCCAGAGCCCTAAACATACATTCCTATAGTCCCAAACACACACATTCCCAGGCCCAACCAAACATTCCCATAGCCCTAAACATACATTCCTATAGTCCCAAACACACACATTTCCACAGTCCCAACCAAACATTCCCATAGCCCTAAACATACATTCCTATAGTCCCAAACACACACATTCCCAGTCCCAACCAAACATTCCCATAGCCCTAAACATACATTCCTATAGTCCCAAACACACACATTTCCACAGTCCCAACCAAACATTCCCAGAGCCCTAAACATACATTCCTATAGTCCCAAACACACACATTTCCACAGTCCCAACCAAACATTCCCATAGCCCTAAACATACATTCCTATAGTCCCAAACACACACATTCCCAGTCCCAACCAAACATTCCCATAGCCCTAAACATACATTCCTATAGTCCCAAACACACACATTCCCACAGTCCCAACCAAACATTCCCATAGCCCTAAACATACATTCCTATAGTCCCAAACACACACATTCCCACAGTCCCAACCAAACATTCCCAGAGCCCTAAACATACATTCCTATAGTCCCAAACACACACATTTCCACAGTCCCAACCAAACATTCCCATAGCCCTAAACATACATTCCTATAGTCCCAAACACACACATTCCCAGGCCCAACCAAACATTCCCAGAGCCCTAAACATACATTCCTATAGTCCCAAACACACACATTTCCACAGTCCCAACCAAACATTCCCATAGCCCTAAACATACATTCCTATAGTCCCAAACACACACATTTCCACAGTCCCAACTACACACATTCCCAGTGAAAACCAAACAATAACCTCCAGAGAAAACCACCAGGAGGAAGAAAAGGCCACCACACAAGAGAAGGCCACCACACAAGAGAAAGCCACCGCCCATTAAAAAAATGGTCACCAACGTACCGCCTGTTCCCTCAGAAGCATGGTCTCATACAACTTGTCCCACATCTCCAGCGTCTGGTTAATTATGATCTCCGTCTGTTTTGATGACTGGTCAACTGGCAAGAAATCTTTCACCTGTACAGGTAAACAAAAAAAGTGCTTTGCAACGAACATGGCTGCTTTTTTGTTATGGAAGTCAATAGAGGTAAATAACAAGGGGTTTGTAACGAACATGACTGCTTTTTTGTTATGGAAGTCAATGGAGGTAAATAACAAGGGGTTTGTAACGAACATGACTACTTTTTTGTTATGGAAGTCAATGGAGGTAAATAACAAGGGGTTTGTAACGAACATTACTGCTTTTATGTTGTGGAAGTAAAGGGAGGTAAATTTTAAAAAAAAAAGGCTTTGTAATGAACAAAACTGCTTTTTGTTGTGGAAGTCAAGGGAGATAAACAAAAAAGGGCTTTGTTAACGAACATCAATGTTTTTTGTTGTGCAAGTCAAGACAAAACTTTTCTTTCACCAAACTGTGCTCCATTCCTAAGGAAACCTTCCTGGTACACTTACAAAAAAAGCTGGATGACTTCTTTGTCTTCTAGGCATCCAATTTTGTATGCGCAAGTGAGAGCCTCTTGTGGGCTGCCTATGTTTACACATTCCTTACGTCCTTTTTAAGGACGTAATTTTTTGTTATTTGAAGCTCCACTCTGGCTCTTGCGGGGGGCTGGGGGGGGGGGGGGGGGGGGAGGGGGGGGGGTGGGGTGGCGGGGGGGGGGGCGGGGGGGGGGGGGGGGGGGGGGGGGGGGGGGGGGTGGGGGGGGGGGGGGGGCGGGGTGGGGGAGGGGGGGGGCCGCAATATAGGCAGGCCATAAATATGGCCAATTGCCTGAACGCGGTTTCTGGGACCTCTCCACAGCGATCCTCATCCACATGGTGGCACTTTGTGTCATTGGGTGTTTATTGCTTGTGTGATGTCCTAGTGGGGTAGAAAGTCAGTCAGTCAGTCAGCCTCTGTGTGTTTACAGGTCAGCTGCAAGTTCTGGTTGTTCATCAAATTCTGGATTGCAGTCCTGTTCCAGAACCTGAGTGTTGCGTGTGCATCCGTTTTACAGATCTGACTCATTTTGTGCAGACTGCTGGTTCATTGCATCACAGGCAGATGCACTCTGACTTTAACGAGATGCTTTTGGGTAGGCAGTGGGTCTATCCTTGTTTTCCCTGTGATAGGGCCCCAGAACCCAATTGGGAACTGTCTAATTCAATACGTATGGGCAAACAAAATTTGTTGGCCTGGCTGACAACCATAATTATGGCTCAAATTTAAGACAAGGCTTATTTTACGAACATCCTGAAAAAACGTAGCTGGGCTTATATGTGGGTCAGGTGTTATTTTGGGGGAAACACTGTATAGGAAGAAAGATACGGCAGCTCATCTTACCTTGGAAGCAATGAAGTTCCTCCCATGTTCATGTGTCTTCTCTAGAACCTGGTCCATAGTTTTCCTCATCATGTCAGCGTACGGCAAAAATCTGTTTAAGTAACAAATCTGTTAGTTTCCGAATCCAAAAAAATGTTAACAACAGTAACTTGGTTAGTATTTTATTAACAAAACTGTTAAATAACAATAAATGTAATACTTTTTTATTACAAAACTCTATGGCATGTGCAAATTTATTAGTTTCGGCAACACCAAATTTCTTAGTTTCGGCAACACCAAATTTCTTAGTTTCGGCAACACCAAATTTATTAGTGTCAGCAACACCAAATTTCTTAGTTTCGGCAACACCAAATTTCTTAGTTTCGGCAACACCAAATTTCTTAGTTTCAAAGAAAACTGTTAAGTAACAACAAATCTGATAGTTTCTGACAACAAAAACAAAACAAAACAAACAAACAAAAACTTCTTTGCAACCTTTGTCTTTATTTCTTGAAAAAAAAAAAAAATTATTATATTCTGACAATAAAACGGTTTAGTATGAGTAAATTTCTCCAACAAGACTGTATAGCAGTGGTTTTTAACCATGTTCAGGACACGCCCCCTGTGAGTATATGGCAAGACTGCCATGCACCTCATCCCCCACCCCCAACATTGAAAAAAAAAATGTGATTAAACAGAGGAGAACAACAGATTCGACAACAAGTGAAACAGACAGTATGGAGATACGTTTTGGTCAGAATGTGTTTTTAATATATAATTAAATGCCTATGTAGTCATATTTAAATAATTTTTAATTGTAGATATACAAACTGCTATGAAACAAAAATATTTTGGGCCTTCTGTTTAATAAAAAGTTGTAAAAATATTTTACTATTTTATTTATAATTAAAAGTTAGTTGTACCCTTTGGACCCTGTAGAGCCAATCCCAACATTTTTTAGCTGTTGTGGTTTTTCTAGGCAAGGTTACGTCCAGTAGTTTGCCACTGCTTTAGGGACGGTTGGCTTCTCAATACCCCTGTTGAAACCAATGCAAAGCGCAAGGCTCGCAGCTGGGATCAATCCCAGCACCCCGGCATTATGAAGCGCGTTTGCAACGCCTAAGCCACAGATGCTGACATTTATAATTATACTAGAAAAAATTTAATATAATGGATAATTACAAATCTCATTGCGACTTCCTAGGCTGGAGACTACAACTGAATAGCAACTGTAAATCTGTTACTTTCTGTAATTGAACTGTTTTGCAACAACAAATATGTTACTGTCTGTAATTAGACTGTTTAGCAACTGTAAATCTATTAGTCTCTGTAATTAGACTGTTTTGCAACAACAAATCTATTAGTTTCTGCAATTAGACTGTTTAGCAACAACAAATCTGTTAGTTTCTGCAATTAGACTGTTTAGCAACAACAAATCTGTTACTTTGTGTAATTAGACAATTTAGCAACATCAAATCTGTTAAGTTTCTGTAATTAGACCGTTTGGCAGAATGAAGTCTGTTAGTTTCTGTAATTAGACATTCTCAGAGAACAAACACACAATGTTAACATTCTCATAGAACAAACACATAATGTTAACTTTCTCAGAGAACACATACAATGTTAACATTCTCAGAGAACTAAACACACAATATTGATGTTCTTAGATTTAAAAAAAAAACACATCATGTTAACATTCTCGGATAAAAAACACACACAAATGTTAACATTCTCAGAGTACAAACACATCATGTAAACAATCTCAAATGAGAAACACATAATGTTAACATTCTCAGAGAACACATAATGTTAAAATTTGCAGAGAACAAACACACAATAATAATGTTCTTAGATTAAAACACATCATGTTAACATTCTCAGAGTAACAAACACATAATGTTAGCATTCTCAGAAAACAACAAACACATAATGTTAAAATTTTCAGAGAACTGCAACCATATAATATCAGAGACTTACTGTGAAAATTCAGAGTTCATGGTCTTATTCAACAGGTTCTGAGCAGAAGTCACCATAAACATTGTTTCTCTTTGAATCTACCAGGGGCAAAAATCATCAATCAATAATTACAACCTTGTCCTGCTGCCTAAGGGTTAGTGAAACAGTTTCACAATGTAATCCTCAGTCTGTACCAGGGTTCAATTCCTGCGGTGGACTGTTAACTCTGTCAGTCCCACAAGATCGTGGCTAGCGTCCGAGGGAGTTACGAATGGCAGTACCAAACTTATGGGCATACTATTTCCAGAGGGACCAAATATGCAACCTTTGCAGGAAACAAATATGTTGTCAGAGTTGTTCACAGTCCTTCACCAAACATAAAATGTAAAAACATAACATGTTGATCGGTACATGTGAATAATACCCGATCACGACAGTTATGAATGGCATTACCAAACTCCTGTGGGCACACTACTTACAAGGGGCGTAATATACAACCCTTGCTCCCCGTGTGGGTTCTGTAACCCTATTGTAGGAATAACAAGAACAGACCCAATGTCTAAACAAAAGCATGTCGTAAGAGTCGACTAACTGGGAGCTTCCTTCGAAGATGAGTGCATCTGTCACGTAACAGCCCACACCCCTTTCATCTTAGACTTGTCTAGTACTTATCACCTCTATGCAGATGAGGTTAAGTTTCAAGGTGGACTTGCCTCTACAGGTAAATAGTCCATCTTTTGTAATTAGGTGTCTTTATGTCGAGTTAAGTACTCCAAAATGTCCTAATTGTTTTGGGAACATTATATTTTTCAAATTCAACCTAACAGGTGAGAGATTCACTATTAATAAAGCCAAAATTTCAATGGCTGAATTACCGCTTGGACGCGGATGAATCTCCTTCCACTTTCTTCGGGAGAGGCGCTTGTGTTGAACATATTCTTGACTGAGCTTTCAGAGAAGGCACACGCTTACTGCCTTTGTGCTGTAAATCTGTCTATTTCTGGTGATCAATTATGCATCCTAGAGGAATCCTTTTGGAGCATGGGTATGTATATTACAGTTTATGAGTACCACAAAGGTAAACCCGCTGCTGAATGTAGAACAAGACTGGCTATGAGATGTTACAGGACTGTGGCTTGCATACATTCTAACTGCAGAGGGGCGCCTAAACTATACATCCCTGTTAAAGGCAGAGGTTGGTAGCCTAGGGGATTCTGTCCTTAGGGTCCAGAGAGACTGGCCAGCAGACAACACGGTTCCACAGACTGTCGCATTTGCAAAATGTTTGTTGCTAAATTTTGGGCTCGGAGATATCTAGGTCAGAGCAGGCCTCAAGACGAACTCCGGCTAAATTTAGTACAGGTGTGACGTCACAGCATGGCCGCTGTGGTCCGGAACATGTAAACAGACCTGACCGAGAAAGGAGGGTATCTGTCCGTGTGTGCATCAGCACCTCTTCAGGGATTTATATATATATATATATAAAGTGGTGAGATAGTTGTGTGAGTGTAGATGTGCCTATATGAAAGTGGATAGGGCTATACCAGAAAGGTTGTCCTATTCTTGCTATCATGTCGGAATTTAGCCTCCCATCATCTCTGCTGACAAGACACAATGGTGTTGTACAAGACTCCTGCAGTCTGAAATCTCTAGTACAGACCTCTGAGCTATGTATATATGTGGATTAATGGATGATTTAGGAACTAGCTTTATGAGATATGAGATGATTGCTAATTCTGGTTTTCCGTTTTGTCACAGGATTTTAACTTCAGTGGAGGCCCGGTCGATAATCACTCACATTTTACCTTACCACCAGCAGGCAGAAGACGACAACATGGTTTTTCCCGTCATTACCGTTCCTGTGTCCAGTTGGTGATGGACTGTTTCAGGAAAAGTACTACCTGGGAGACATGTATGCCCAGGGAGTTGTGTGTCTGGTATTATTTCTACCTTAACTGAGGCCAGAGACTGTGTTTAATTATGAACTTTAGTGCTGTGTTACAGCCAGAACTTTGCCAGAGTAAGGCTTTACTGGACATTAAAGGTATTCAGTTAGTCCAGTATCCTGTATGCTGAGGAGAGGATCAGTTTATTAGCCTTTGTACTAACCATCCCAGATGTTTGAGAAGTTATTTATTACAGTGGACCAGACCTGGTGGCAGATAAGTGAAGTACAAGCATTTGCGGTTAATCTTATTCCTAAGTGCCTGTTCCAGGAATCCAATGTTCCACATCATAGCAGTGATGATGATGGCTACTACTAGGAGCAACTCATGTGCTATTCAGTCATAACTTGTCTTCTTTTCCTCAGTAATATTGGTTCTATTAAATTCCTTTTTATCCATTCTTACATGTTCTGATTACATGATGTTTTTGTGATTTTTACATTCTTGGTTTAGTGTCCATCCTTCACTGTTCCTAGTTGTCTGGAGTGTGTGTATGGTATCATTATCTTACATATTTAACTGTGTTTCTTATGTTGACTAGCTGGAGACTATCTGGTCAGGGGGGCTTAACTGAAGTAGTGGGGAAGTCAGGTCAAGTTGCGCTTAGGAATATTTTATGTTCTGTAGTGCCATAATTTGAGTTGCTTCACCCCTGAAGTAGGTTGGATGTTCATTGGAGCTGTGGGATTCCACCTAGACCATTGCGAGCCAACATCTCATTATTTTAAACTACTTCAGAGTGGCATTAGGTTCAGTCGGGGAAAGCCTCACCAAGACACGTGACACTAGCAGTATGTGACAGCATTTGCCCCAATGACTCAATTGACATGCCCTCAATGACTCACCTGAACTACCTCAATGACTCACATGAACTGCCCTTAATGACTCACCTGAACTATACCAATAACTCACCTGAACTATACCAATAACTCACCTGAACTATACCAATAACTCACCTGAACTATACCAATAACTCACCTGAACTATACCAATAACTCACCTGAACTATACCAATAACTCACCTGAACTATACCAATAACTCACCTGAACTATACCAATAACTCACCTGAACTATACCAATAACTCACCTGAACTGCTCCAATGACAGAAAAGAGGACAGTGCCCACAAGCATCATCAGGATAAACAATATGCTGGTGGCCTGGTCCAAGCCTTGCTCCAGGATCATGATGATCTGTACGAAGAAACAAGCATGTCTGTGAGTGTACATGGTCGATGAGAGCATGACAACTGAGAATATGCAAAAGAGTTGAGCTGAGTTGATTTAAGAACCGACATCAGAGCACTTTGGGCATTCCCATAAGCGCTCCATCCACATCTTCAGGAGCCTGCGCAGAGATCCAGTACAAATGGTGCCAGTGGCAATATGATTAAACGCCCGTCTTGCCTTTCCTCTGAGCGTGGAGCATCTACACATCTCAACACTCCCCACTGCATCATTCTCACCAGACTGTGGTGATCCATTTGCTCCTACGAATTGTACACTCTCTCCCACACAGCCCTAACCATGTCTGCCTTTTCATGCATCAATATTCCACAAAGTTGTGCACAGCCAACCAGTCTGTCCGCCTGTTAATTTTCGAACACACTGATGTTACTCCGAGAAAAGATCTACACAATTCTCCTCACCCGGGTCCTCTGCAGCAGAGCATGCCACTCTGCACGAAGCATGCCTGTCCTGACTTTCCTCAGCATGCTCACTGAGTCAGTTACAATCCTGATGTGTGTGTGCATCATGTTCTGTAACCAGGGGAAAGCTGCATTACCACCTCCATCTCCATTCTTAAGCCGGATGTTGTGGTCTCATATGCTAGGCTCTCCTGCACCAAACATCGACCATTATCTTTTGCTAAGAAACCCCAAGCACTTTTTTTTGCTACTTGACACGAACTGTCTGTATAAATAACCACCTCCTTTCAAAGAGCATTATCTTGAATTAATTTCTGAATTTCCACCTCTGTGGCACCCACTGGCCAGTCTCTGCATTCCCGGCTCAGTGTGATTATGACCCTACACAAGTCGGACTGTTCAGGTGGCACTTTGACCCACTCCTCTCCTCGTCTAATGCTCTCCAGGATGCAAACCTGATTGACTGTGTTTTCTGCCTGAGCCATCCATGTGACTGTGTTTTCTGCCTGAGCCATCCATGACCTCCCTCTTATCAGCCGCTGATCCTTAACTGCACCCAGAACTTCATGCAATGGGTGGTCTGTTTCTGCAGCTACCCTAAGTTATGACTTCGCCTGCAGCACCTTGTGCCTATCTGCAACAGTCAGCAAACCAAGGATGTATCGCATACACACCACTGGGGTGTCTCTGATGCAACCCACAATGACCCGCAATCCTAGTCCATAACCCTAGTCCATAACCCTAGTCCATAACCCTAGTCCATAACCCTAGTCCATAACCCTAGTCCATAACCCTAGTCCATAACCCTAGTCCATAACCCTAGTCCATAACCCTAGTCCATAACCAATCACAGAAAGGATAGAAAACAGATATCATGGAAACACAAAATAAATTATGAAAATGGGAATAGAACATCAAAAATGAGGAAATTAAAACTAAGAACATGAAAACTGGGAATGGAACAGAACATCAAAAATGAGGAAATTAAAACTAAGAACATAAAAACTGGGAATGGAACAGAACATGAAAAATGAGTATATGAAAACTAAGAACATGAAAACTGAGAACGGAACAGAACATGAAAATGTACACATGTAAACTGAGATAACGGAAACAGATCATTAAAAATAAGAAAGACAAACCAGGCAATTTAAAAACTTGGAACAGACCAGAACATGAAGCAAGTTCACAAGATGAGTGAGAACACTGAGAGATTATAGAAACAGAATGTTAATGATGAGAGCAGCAACAAAATATCAAAAAAAAAGGAGATTATGGTAGCAGAAGGGCAAAAGGGAATAGAACATGAAAAAAAAAAAAGAATATATAGAATTGACTAGTCACTGATTCACTTCTGTGATGGTGCTCTACCTACCGACACAGCAGTTGTAAGTTTAATCACAAGAAGTGAACAGGAAGCATTTTTTTTTCAGAAACCACCACTGTGAATTCAAGCTAATGATGAGGCTTCTTTCTTATAAATTTGGCTGGCACCTTTCCGTCTTTCTAGATGACAGTGTTATACTGAGCTATGAGGTGGCATGGGATTAACAGCTCATGGCAATAGTGATCTGCTCACGTTGAGAAAAGTTCACAATGATAGCATGGGATTTCAGGATCCTTGTTGCCAACATTTGTGTTTAGTCTGTTTCTTCTCCAACGCTCAGCTTTCATCCTTTCTGCAATCACTTGCATGGCATTTTGTTCTCACGCATCTATCTCAATACCTGTATCATTCATGTCCCACCTACACACATCTTTATATCGTAATAGAGGTCAGCCTTGACATCTTCTATCCATCTGTAATTCACCATACAGGATGTCCTTAGAGACTCTACCATCCCCCAGGTGTGACCCAGCAACCGGAGCCTTCAGAGACTGCGCTAAGTAAGCCCTGCTCTTCCCAGAACCTCAGTGTCTGTGATCTTTTCCTGCACCCATAATGCCAAGTATTCTTCTTAGACATCACATGTGAAAGCTCTTTAGCCGATCCTCCTGGTGCCAATAAGTTGACCAGGTTTCACTGCCATAAAGCAGAGTGCTTAGAACACAAGCCTGACAGAGTTTTTGATTTAATCATCAGCTTTTTGTTCTCCCAAACTCTTTTCGTTAATCTGCTCATTTCAGTTGCTTCTTTACCTATCCTGATGTTGATTTCTTGGTCCAGCGATAAAGTGTTATTCATTGTAGATCCCAGACAGGTAAAACTGTCAACTGTCTCTAGCTCTTCACCATCAATATAGACTGAAGGTCTATCATTAACACCTTGCACCTTAATCATTGTCTTCTTTTTGCTGACTGTTTCAAAATTCACAGCATGCTTGAGCAAATGCAGATAGTACCCATTGCAGCTCTTCTTCTCAATGGGAGGTAACTGCTGCACCATCTGTGAACAGCAGCTCTCTGATAAGTACCTACTTATCCTGGTTTGGGCTTTCAGCCTGCGAATCTTACAGATTACTGATTTTAAAATTGACATTATAGCACAACGGACATACACACAGACATTCCATCTCCTGCAGCAAATGTCTTAAAGTACAGATGACTGTTCTTGTAGCAAACTGGTTGTACATACGTCAAACTTTTCCTCCTCCATCCTTTCTGGCCAGACTCACACTTAATTCCTAATTTATGCTACTTTACACATTGTTTTGTCTAACATCACTTCTTCCATCAGCTAATGGCTGAGGTTTGGTGCAGGAGAGCCTAGCATATGATGCCATAACATCCAGCCTGAGAATGGAGGTGGAGGCAGTCACTAAAGCTTTCTGCTGGCTAGAGAACATGATATACAAACAAACACATTGTGATTAAAAACGACATACAAAGAATTATGAGGACGATAAGGACAGGCATGCTTCATGCTGAGTGACATGCTTTGCTTCAGAGGTCACGGGTGAAAAGCACTGTCTGGATCTTTTCTCCAGGGCATGCCAGTGTGGTGAAAAATGAACAGGCAGAAAGATTGGCTGGCTCTGCACAACTTGATAGAATAATGACGCATGATAGGCAGATGTAGTTAAAGCCTTATGGGAGCATATGTACAATTCGGACAGCTAATTTGATCATCCCAGTCTGGTGAGAGTGATGCAGGGAGGAGTGACAAGAAGATCTAGTTGATACTTGACGCTTCAACGTTTATTACTGTGCTCTTGTCGGCTCTGTGGCTAAGTCGATGCGCATGCTTCAGAATGCCGGGGTGCTGGGTTCGATCCCAGCTGCAGGCCATGCGCCTTACATTGGTTTCGACAGTGGTATCAGGGGGCCGACCGTCCAGAAACCACACAACAGCCTGGGGCTGCCGGGGTTGGTTCTGCAATGTCCTGTAAAGGATGCGTAACTAACCTAACTGTGCTCTTGCAAAGCTGTTTCTGTTCTCAAATGGGGGGTCTTGGCACAGCAGAATGTTAATCTTCAAAGTTATTTTTGCTTCCAACAGCGCTTTACTAATGCGGTTTCCACACATTGACGGTAGTCTATGGTTTTGCAGCCGAAGCTACCAAGATAAATGTTATGAGCAGGCTTGTGAGCTGTGTTTCTCATGTGGAATGCCTTTCATTTGTGTAGTGGTTGAGTCGTGGTATTCAATACGGCCTGTGGCCAACTTGTCATGCCCAACTAGCTCCATCAATGACCAATGACAAACTGCATTTGTGGTGGCGACTGTTGGCTTGGGCACCTCTGGCAACTGCCATATGCATTTACTGTGTGCGCATATTTCTGGATTGTGCTGGGACTAATTGCTTGTTCACCGGTTTTTCAAATGTGACAGTAAGGGGACACTTCATTTGATTTTCACTGGCACAGGAATAGAGCAAGTATGGGGTGAAATGATTGCAGTGAAGCTTCGACTAAGACTAAGACTTGTAAAGCTGCCCAGTTCTGCTTTCTATTTTTGTTTTAGTTAGTTATTTATAAATGCAGTATAAAACACTGGTAATAACACACACAGAAATAATCCTGTATACTGGAGACAACAAAACACCATCAACAAACCTTCTGGTCTCCTTTCAGCAACAGACTCCCAAGCCCTCTCAAACAATGAGGCATCAGTACATCCTCACGAGCACGGAGCCACTGAAGCATGGCATTCTTTGCATTTGTGGCAGTGGAGTGAAACAGTCCACCCTCGTCGAACTGCTTAACTGTCAAACATAGATCAAATCGTCAGGTGAATAAAATCCTAGTGGCAAATATATATATCAATATAACAGTATAAAAAAGTAAGTAAAGATCCCTTAACACGCCTTAGGTGCATCGGGTATATGGGAAGAGCGTCCCATATTTTTACAGACCAATGTGTCTCCTGTCTTGTGGTGTTGGTAGTCATGCAGCCTCGACCACACGCACATCGAGCTGCTGTAGAGTTTCTCTGATAGCATCTTTCTATCTTGTTCTTGGTCTACCTTGTGCTTGGTGTCCATCTCCTTTTTTGGAGTATGCCTTGTCTAGTATAGCATTCCCTTTAAATGGCCAAACTATTTGATTTGCTGGGTTTGTATGTAATTTAGAATTGTTTCTGTGCTAACACCTTCTCTTATGACACCATTCCCAATTATATCTCTTCTGGTCACTCCTGCAGCCCTTCTCAGACATCTCATTTCCATGGTTTATTATTTTCCTTCTACTTGAAACAAAGACCGCCCTGTGTTGGTTTCGACAGTGGTATCAAGAGCTGACCGTTCAGGAGGCAATGGCAAACTACTGAACATAAATTTTTCTAGAAAAACTACAACGTCCTACAAAAAAGCTGAGCTTGGTTTTGGAATGTCTTGTAAAGGACACGCAATGAACTAACTCAAGATAAAAATTGGACACAAAAACTTACAAACTTTCTTGATAGCAAAATGAAGAACGGGCAACATCAGCAGCAGAAGTATCAGCCAGACATGCATCCACAGGCGAACAATCACGTGACCCCAGAACAGGGTCATGAAGCACTGGTCCACCCTTGAGGTCTTGGTAGTGCTCTTCTGGAACACACAGCAACCCTCAGCTGTTAGATTCATTCTCCTCATTTGTCATCATCATCATCATCACCACCACAACCAGCATCATCATTATCATCACCACCACCACCATCATCATTATCATCATCATCATCACCACCACCACCAGCATCATCATTATCATCACCACCACCATCATCATTATCATCATCACCACCACAACCAGCATCATCATCATAATCAACACCACCACCACCATCACCAGCATCATCCCCACCCCCACTACCATCATCTGCATTTGTGCCCCCGTGTGCGTTATGGGGCCCCATTTTGTGGGGGAAAAGAACATACCCACTGACCCCTGAACATAATTTTACAAGGTGACTAATTCAGGGTGTTTCCTCTGAAGTCAGAGTGCATGTGCCTGAGAGGTGAGGAACTAACTGTCTGCATATAAATAAGCCAGAACTGTAAAACTGATGTGCATGCAAAACACAACCTCTGGAACAAGACTAAAGTCCACAAGTAGAGGAACAACCAGAACTTTTTTGCCGGAGTTTACAGCCGGCGAATGCTAAGAAGAAAGAGGAGACATTAACTGTTGTTATTTGTCATTATCATCATCAACATGTGTGCCTCATTTTCATCCTCTTTTGCATTACCATAAAAAGGGTGGCTGTTGGGTGGTGTTATGGTTTATAGCTAGGCTGTGGTATTGGTGCCTTTTGGCCCAACTCATACAGTTTTAGCTAATGTCTAATTAGTCGCCTATTAAGACATGCTTGTTGAGGGCGGTGGGTTTGTAAGGTGGCAGTGGGTCCATCTCCCTCCCTACACACACCCAAGCAACAAAACAACTGGGGCCCCTGAACCAACTCAGGGACTCACGTTTCATCAGTTGTCATCATTATCATCATCTGTCACCCTTTGTGTTCACTACCATCTTTCTTTCTTCTTTTGTCATCTCGCCGATATCAGGTTGTAGCCCAGTGTCATGGTTTTGTCATGATAATGATACCAGGTTGTAGCCCAGTGTCGTGGTTTTGTCGTAATAATGATACCAGGTTGTAGCCCAGTGTCGTGGTTTTGTCGTGGTATTGATACAAAATTGTAGCCCAGTGTCCTGGTTTTGTTGTCTCACTGATAACAAATTATAGCCTAGTGTCCTGGTTTTGTTGTCTCACTGATAACAAATTATAGCCTAGTGTCCTGGTTTTGTTGTCTCACTGATAACAAATTATAGCCTAGTGTCCTGGTTTTGTTGTCTCACTGATAACAAATTATAGCCTAGTGTCGTGGTTTTGTTGTCTCACTGATAACAAATTATAGCCGAGTGTCGTGGTTTTGTTGTCTCACTGATAACAAATTATAGCCTAGTGTCGTGGTTTTGTTGTCTCACTGATAACAAATTATAGCCTAGTGTCGTGGTTTTGTTGTCTCACTGATAACAAATTATAGCCGAGTGTCGTGGTTTTGTTGTCTCACTGATAACAAATTATAGCCTAGTGTCGTGGTTTTGTTGTCTCACTGATAACAAATTATAGCTGAGTGTCGTGGTTTTGTTGTCTCACTGATAACAAATTATAGCCTAGTGTCGTGGTTTTGTTGTCTCACTGATAACAAATTATAGCCGAGTGTCGTGGTTTTGTTGTCTCACTGATAACAAATTATAGCCGAGTGTCGTGGTTTTGTTGTCTCACTGATAAGAAATTATAGCCTAGTGCCGTGGTTTTGTTGTCTCACTGATAACAAATTATAGCCTAGTGCCGTGGTTTTGTTGTCTCACTGATAAGAAATTATAGCCTAGTGCCGTGGTTTTGTTGTCTCACTGATAACAAATTATAGCCTAGTGTCGTGGTTTTGTCATCTCACTGGTACCAGGTTGTAGCCTAGTGCCGTGGTTTTGTCATCTCACTGGTACCAGGTTGTAGCCTAGTGCCGTGGTTTTGTCATCTCACTGGTACCAGGTTATAGCCTAGTGTCGTGGTTTGTCATCTCACTGGTACCAGGTTGTAGCCCAGCATCATGGTTTTGCTGTCCCCATTCATACCAGCTGGTAGGCCAGTGTTGTGGTATTCTGTATTTGTCTTTTACTTCTTGGGTGGTTTGGGTGATAGATTTGTTGATTTTTTTGTGCAGGTTTCAGCTACACCATTTATCCATTTTTTTTGGGGGGGGGGGTCTTCTTTTTGCCTTCCTCCCGGATGTTCTGCTGTAATAAGTAATATGCAGTTTAGTCTGGCTGCATTCACACTTGATGTCTGAACCATTTCATTCTCTGTCAATACCATCCAGGCAAGGTCTTATTCTGTATTTCACTCTAATGTTGGTATTCGACGGAGAGAAATATAAAGAAGATAAAGAAAAAATTTTTTAAAATATTATTTCCCTAACACTGACTGAGGGAAAACTATAGTTTATTGGCTAAAGGGGTCACCTGTGGATCTGAAGGTTGTAAGTTCAAATCCAAACAGAGCTGAACTTTTTTTCAAAAATGATCTTGGCTATCAGCATTAAATGAGTACCAGGTAAAGTCATGGGAAGTAAAGGCTGCCAGTTTGATGTTGACCACATCGCTAACCATGCTTCTTCTTCTTTTTCTTCTATTTCACCTTGCACCTCAGTGAAGTGTCAGGGATGGGGGGGGGGGGGGGGGGAATATAACGTTCGTTGATGAGCTCTGTCAAGAGCACTATTGAGATTGATGTTCATTTCTGTAAGGCTGTTCTTAATGCCATCACTTAATATTTTCCGAGGTCTTCCGCTCGCTTATACCTATTGTAACGTTTCAGTGTGGCTCGCTGTGGCAGATAGTACCAGGGCATTCTTGTTAGGTGTCCAAACACCTTCATTTGTTGTTCTTTGGTGATCTGTAAGACTGGCTTTATTCCTAGCATTTGTCTGATTTCCTATTCTGTCTTTCCTTTAAACTATTGCAGTTCTAATGCATTTCATCTCTGCTGTCACAATTTTATGTTCATTAGAGGATGTAAGTGTCCATGTTTGGCACTGATAGCATAATCTGGATCATTCCATTTATACCATGTAAAAATTTGTGAAGCTTTATGGTGAAAGAAGGTGTTAGTAATAACAAGGTCATGTTGTGCACATATATTTAGTCTTTCACCATTTTCATTTCTAATGCTGTTGTCTCCATAATTGCCTAGGTATCTTGTCAATTTTCTTCTGTCACATCCAGTCTTGACATTAAAATCGCCCATCATGATCAGCTCCTCATTACTATCTATCATCCAAGTCCTCAAAGAATCGATCTAAATGCTCCTCACTGTAATTTCCATTACATGGAGCATATATTTGAGAAAAAACCTCCAAACTATTTCCTACCTGTAATTTCAAGCTGATAATTCTTTCGGAAATGTAGAAAACTGAGTGCTGATTGGTCTATAATATACAGGTCTAGCCCCATATGCCCAAAGGCGTGGAAAAAGATCTTTTACTTTAATAATGTCAGAAAGCCACAACAAAAGTCTTTTTCTTAACCGTAGGAATCGAAACCCTGGTAAACGTCAATGATACACTGTGAAACAACTTCACTAATGCCCTATGTGCCATGGACCATGCTGATATACTGAATGCTATATGAGAATTGGGACGTTTGTTAGAACCAAGTGATGCCTGTAAATCTGCACAATGACCAGATTGCCAGAAAATATGTTTAAAAGTTGTGTGGCCAGATAAGAGCACTATGCAGGAAGCGAAAGAAGAATAAGAAACCAACACAGGACTGGTGTCGTCAGCCGCTATACGCTTCAAGATTTACTAAGGAGGGGATCCGAGCACTTATGGACTGAACAGTTTGATGTGCAATGAGGATAATCTGTCAACTGCTAACTAACAATTTCATTAACCTTTAAGCCAGACTAATCTTCATTACCTGATTGATAGAAATAAGCGAATCTTTGTGGCGTTTACTGCCCTGTGAAAACTGCGAGAAAGTCAGCGACAGGTTTGAGGGCTTGGTGACTACTGGAGCATCTGCAAATTTGAGTATGGACTGAGGAGCTCCCGAGTGTGGTGCCCTGACCACGGGACCTTTATCTAGCACCGTGCTGGACACTGGACGTGTTTTCTCTGCTGACTGAATGCAGAAAGTGAAGTTAATCATTTGCAATGACAACATAATCAGAAACTCAAAACAATGGTTTTCCCAAATTAGAATAATGACGCATGAAACAAAATACTTTTAAAATATGTTACGTTATCGGCCTACATCACTGCACACTAGGCACTCCCATGCATACACAGTCGTGTGACACAACATACATTCCAATGTCCCTCTAGTGATTGTTCCTATAATGGTCTCCTCTGATCCAACCTGGCTGTAAATGCTGGCTCATGCCCTCCTCTGATCCAACCTGGCTGTGGTGCGACTCATGCCCTCCTCTGATCCAACTTGGCTGTGGTGTGACTCATGCCCTCCTCTGATCCAACTTGGCTGTGGTGTGACTCATGCCCTCCTCTCATCCAACTTGGCTGTGGTGTTACTCATGCCCTCCTCTAATCCAACCTGGCTGTGGTGCGACTCATGCCCTCCTCTGATCCAACCTGGCTGTGGTGCGACTCAAGCCCTCCTCTGATCCAACCTGGCTGTGGTGCGACTCAAGCCCTCCTCTGATCCAACCTGGCTGTGGTGCGACTCAAGCCCTCCTCTGATCCAACCTGGCTGTGGTGCGACTCATGCCCTCCTCTGATCCAACTTGGCTGTAGCCCTCTGAAATAAAGGCAATCGGCATGATGTTGACCACATCACCCACTGAGTGCCATCTGGTCTATAAAATACAGGTCTAGCTCCATATGCCCTATATGCCCGAAGACGTGGAAAAGGTCCTTTTGCATAATTATCAGAAAGCAAATGTCACGTCTTCACACTGGAGACTGTGTCTGTCTTTGGGAAGGCAGGAGAGCCGCAATTTTTTTTTTTTTTTTTAAACAAATATCAACAATTGAAGAAAATATGGGCTTCTGAACTGAAATTCTATAGAAAATTTCTCAGAATACCATGAATCAAGAAGAAGAAAAATACTGACATCCTAAAAGATCTGAACATCAAGGAAGATTGACTGGTAAACAGCATCTTGTCTTGAAAACTGAAATATTCTGGATCTATATCAAGGGCACAATGGATGGGAAACAAGGCATGGTGCCAGGAAGGAGGGGCAGGAGCTGACCAGCATGAGGATGGGCAGAGGATATAAACGACAGCTTGGGTAGGAAAGTGCATGAGGCGGGAGATGTGACCAGACACCGAGTTTCTCTAAGGCAGGATGTGATGACAGCAATATTCTGCGAAGGACCTGCAACATGGTAGTAACAAGGATGTCCACAAAAGAAACCAAAACACGGCACAGCATGGATTCTGTACTTTGCAAATGTACAAACTAAGATTAACATTATGCTTACTGGCCAAACTTGGATCAACGTAATGCTAATGAAAAATCTAAGATTAACATTATATGCTAATGTAAAAACTAAGTTTGAGGTTTGAGGTTTGAACAACGGATCAACATCAAGGCACACCAGCAGTAACACAAAAGTGCTCCGTTCTTCTTGTAACTCAAGTCTACAGTCCGAAGAAGCTCAGCACAGTGCACAGGCTCTGTAGCACCATCGAGGATCCTGAAATACTTTAGGTAGATTTTTCACTCTAAATTTTTGCCCAGGCAGCGACATTAGGCCGCTCTTTTCGATTTCTAACTGCCAAGGGATTTTTTACGTGCGCAACAATGCATACAGGCGTCCGATCACACTACTCAGAGACCAGAGAGAATTATCAGAAGTCCATGTCCACGTTAAAAACTAGCCCTAGGGGATTTAACCAGAAGCCTCTAGCCCTCAAGGTGGATACCATTAAAAGTGGTTCTTAGTTGCCATTGTGCTGGGTCTAGTCTCACCAAAATTCTGCCAGCTGCTAATAAAAAAATCCTAGCCCTTGGGGATTAACCAGGGAAGGTGGACCATGCGTTGCATCAACACACTGCGGATTTGGAAGAATTACTGAGAAAAATTGACCGCACAGTCCTGGCCTCCAGGTATCGGCGTCTTCACCTCCACTAAGATTAACCTTATATACTCATGTAAAAACTAAGACCAACACTAGAGCATTGTGAAACATGATCAGTAACCTCCGAGCCCCAGTCACATATTTAATGAGAAAATGACCATCCTGGCAACACCTGAACAACCAACCCTACCCCTCCCCCCCTTTCCGGCCACCATTACAGTGATCTTCTTCTTTTCCTTTGTGTTCGCCGGTTTTAAACTCCAAAGTAAAGTCAAGGTCATTCACCCACTTCTGGACTGGTCTTGTTCTAGAACTTCAGTATCTGTGTGCACATCCATTTTACAATTGTGGCTTATGTGTATGCAGACCTGTGGTTCCTCGGCTCTAAGATGCACTCTCTTTGAAACAAACATCCCTAATTAACCAACTTTTTGACAGGCATGTTAGGGAAGCAGTGAATCTTCCCCCCCCCCCCCCCCCCCCCCCCATGGAGCCCTGGATGGAACCCACGTGGGGATTTCCAGTTTTAAAAAGCACTGCATCAGGTTACCTCATCTTCATCCTCGGGTACGCCGGTCTTTGAAGAGACAGATTTACCAGACAGTGAAGCTTCACCTGCAACAACAACAATAACAAAATATAACAACCCAAAACAAAACAAAACACAAAACAGAGCATTGTGAATACAAACAAGATGACGACAGTGGTGGTCTGCAAAGAAGGCTGATAGAGGGTACAGTGTCCTGAGAATGAGACAGAAGCAGACCTCTGCGAAGGTGGATGCAAGACAGTGCAGGTGCATCATTTGTGAAAGCAAAATTGGCTGGAGAATAGTCTAGAGAAAAGAGACTTTCAGGCGTGCCATGACGAGAGCGAACTTCTGTAAAGGGCTTTTTGACTGATGATGATGTCTACAGAAAACATTATTTAAGTGTTGTCTCAGCTGTGTGTTTGCTAGTGTGATGGAAGAATGTTAAAACCGTGCAAACAGGTTCTGTAACTTCAAATGTGTTAAGGTTTAAAAGTAAAGTCAGAAGAATGAAAACTATTGTACCATTCGGCTTTCTTTTCTCTTCGCAGAAAAGCTAGCTGCCTGCCAAGAATGTCACTCAAAGCACAAACTTCATAGCTTCGGCAACGATCCCCAGGGGTCCCTGTAAAAATTGCACATGTGAAACGAAGTCAGGAACTTCAGAGCAAGAGGCAAATATCTTGACCACTTCACCAAGGAGGCCCCAACCCGTTTCAAATCGGTATCAATGACTACTGAATATAAGGTGAAAGTCTATTAGCGGCTGGCAGAATTTTGGTGAGACTAGACCCAGCACAATGGCAACTACGAACCTCTTTTAACTACGTCTTTAGGCATATTGGGAATATAGGGCTAGACCTATATTTTTTATAGACCAATCGGCACTTGGTGGGTGATGACTGATGTGGTCAGCATCGGGCGGGTTGCCTTTACTTCCCATGACTGCACCGGAAATCCATTTTTTTTTTTAAAGTCCGGCTCCTTTAGGATGCGAACCCACGACCTTCCGATCCACAGGCGGGCGTCTAGCCGCCAAAACCGTGACGACTTGCACCAAATGCCTCTTTAAAACCTGATTCTGAATGGCAGAACACTGACTAGAGAAGGAAGCGGAGATGAAGAAAAAGGAAGGAAGAGCAGGAACAAGAAAAATAAATTATCTGCAGCTATCACAGTTAGCTTGAGTAACCATTCTCAAACCAGTCTTTTTTCTTTTAACCAATAATTTAGCCACACCAAAAAAGTGACAAGCTTCTTCTTTTAAACTTCTAGTTGCCTCACTGAAGTGATGAGGGGAGGGGAGAGCACAGATATGTAAGACCATCTGTGACCTCTTTCTAATGCATGAATAAGATGAAATTAATTTCTTGAACGCTGTTCTTGATGCCGTCTTTACATATTTGCAAGCTCTGTATATTTCTTAAGCGTGGTTCTCTGGGGCCGTTGGTATCAAGGCATTCTTTTCAGATGGCCAAACCATCAGTCATAATATTTTTCTAATTTCTCTGTTTTTAATGTTTACTTTGGTTTGCCCCACGTTCTGACATCCTGGGTTTATTTCAAAGACTGTGTTGTTCACTTCATGAGCTGCATTTTTACTGAGAACCCTGGGGATAATCTCTGGAGCTGCAGAGTTGGTGTTTTCTGTGACATTCTCGACAGGTAGCTAGCCATTCTCAGCAGGCGGCTGGCCATCCCGTGAAAAGAGATTGGGCCATAAGGGACAAAACCTAGTGCACTGAAGTCTATTCTCCCGACTTCACTTTTTCTCTTCTTTATTTCTAGCAGTCCTTCTTAGACAAACCTCTGTTGTTATATGAGGGGCCTTCAAATGAGAACCTTGAAAGTGTTATAGAAATTACAATAACCATGCCATCATCTGCACCACAATGTCACATGCTTAACATTCTTGACATCCTTAACAACAATACTGGCATGATACAAAAGAATAGCATGATTATTGTAATTTCTATCACGCTTTTAAAGTTTCATTTGAACCCCCCTCATAATTTTCTGGGAGTCACTGTGGTGTAGCGGCTAGATGCTCGCCTGCGGATCCGAAGGTCAAGGGTTCAGGACCTGATGTAGCCGGACGTGTTTTTTTTTTTTAATGACCTTGGCTTGGGTACCAAATAAAGTCCTGGGAAGAAAAGCTGGCAGGCGTGATGCTTACCCTATCACCCACCAAGTGCCGATGGGTCTATAAAATACAGGTCTAGCCCTAAATGCCCAATATGCCAGAAAGCATTGAAAGGGGTCCTTTACTTTTACTTTACATAATTGTCCATTCATAAGCTTTGGTAAGGGTTCATGTCCGACACTGGAAGCAGACAGTTAGCCAAAAAAATACAACAATAATAAGACAAATCAAGCAACAATTCAGACAGTAGCTACACTCACTTGCAGCTTTACTGGAGGCCTCTCCTGTTTCTGCAACATCTGACTTGGACCCATCTTTGTGGACACAAATTATACATTTTATTATTAACTCATTCATTAACTGGTTTTAGACAGTGTGGGTTCTCGGAGCCCACTTACAAAAAAGCCCCCCCCCCCCCCCCCCCCCCCTCCACCAACAAGCATATAGTAAGAGGTGACTAATTTGGGGTGTTTCCTTCGAAATCACACTGCATCTGCCTTAGAGGCGAAGACGCAACATCCTGCATACAAATAAGGCAGATCTGTAAAATGGAGTTGCATGCAATAGTGAAGGATAGAACAACCTGGTATGAGCTGGTTGAGGGCCTATGCTCCGATGGGAGTTAAAAAGCAGGGGAAAAGAGAAGAGTATAAACTAAACACTGGGAAGCTTGCAAAGCAGACAGAACAGGATCACTGTAAACAGTTAATAATAAATTTGAACAAAGAAGACACAAACAACAGATTGCACAATTTATTGCCTGGCATATTTCGCTGTCTCTCGTCAGGTGCATACTACAGTAACAATTACATCAATGAAGCAGATAAGTGAATCCTTTATAACTGAAGTCCAAATTCAACAACAATCAAACATGGCTGCCTGTTTTACCAGGGCAGCCGAAAAGCCAGAACCATATCTTTCTGTATACAGAGTTCCGGGCGCCAGTGTGAATCACGAAAGCTTCAAAAAATCTTAAGGTTCCTTACCGTTGGGCAGATTTTATCAGCCGCCAGTGATTTAAAATACCAGTGAGGAATGATTCCAGTTGTGAGGCATTCTTCAAGAAATTGTAACCGACAGTCCTGCACTGCGATGTTACCAGCTGTAAATTCCAGTTTAAAGTTCTGGTTGCCTCCTATGACATGCTTGTTATTGGGGCAGTGGGTCTATTCTTTGTTCTCCAAAATGGAACCATGGAACCTACATGTGGAATGTCCTCATGCTCTGAGGGTAATGGGACCAATATTAGGCTCTGTTCTTCAGTTCCTGAGTACAGGTGTTCCAGAGTTCCAGACGTCCCTGGAAGTCAGCGCTAGAGCTATACAGTTGGTGCTTTGTAAACTAAAGGACTCTTTTCCACGCCTTCAGATGTACTGGGCATATAGGGCTAGACCTATATTTTATAGGGGATCTCCATGGCGAAGTAGGCAAGCCCCTACTCACACTCTGAAGGATGTGGATTCATTCATTTCGCAGTGGTGTGTTCAGTTCATGAGTGCAATTTTTACGGAGATCCCTGGGAATCTTTGCTGGAGCTATGGAGGTCATGCCCTGTGTGACGCTCTTGGCAGGCAGCTAGCTGTTAATTGGAAGAAGACCGAACCATATGGGATCAAACCCAGTCTAATGAAGTCTATCCTCTCATCTATGCCTTTCCTATAATTTACAGACCAACTGGCACTTGGAGGGAGAGTGATGTGGTCAGCATTAGGTTGGACCTTTACTCACTTTATCTGGCACCCGTTTAAAGCTGGGTCTTATGCTTTATGGAACTTCTACAGGTGACCAGCTGTTTCACAGAGAGCCTGAACCACGTCGAATACCACCAGGTGCAAAAACGTTTATCCTCTGGCCTTTAAACAAATGTTTATCCTCTCGCCTTAAAACAACCTTTAACAAACCCATATAGGTTGAAACCTATAGAAAGAGGAAAGTGAAGATGATGATGATGATACTGGCTGCCGCTGACCTGAGGTTATCATCAAACTGACCTGAGGTTATCAACAAACTGACCTGAGGTTAACATCAAACTGACAGGAGGTTATCATCAAACTGACCCAAGGTTATCATCCAACTGACCTGAGGTTATCATCAAACTGACCTGAGGTTATGATCAAACTGACCTGAGGTTATAATTAAACTGATCTGAGATTATCATCAAACTGACCTGAGGTTATCAACAAACTGACCTGAGACTACCATCAGCCATCAACAAACTGTGTGAGACTATCATCAGCTATCAACAAACTGACCTGAGACTATCATCAGCCATCAATAAACAGAACTGAGACTATCATCAGCCATCAATAACAGACCTGAGACTATCATCAGCTATCAACAAACTGACCTGAGACTATCATCAGCCATCAATAAACAGACCTGAGACTATCATCAGCCATCAATAAAAGACCTGAGACTATCACCAGCTATCGACAAACAGACCTGAGACTATCATCAGCCATCAACAAACTGACCTGAGACTATCATCAGCTATCAACAAACTGACCTGAGACTATCATCAGCCATAAAAAAACTGACCTGAGACTATCACTAGCCATCAACAATCTGACCTGAGATTATCACCAGCCATCAACAAACAGACCTGAGACTATCACTAGCCATCAACGAACTGACCTGAGACTATTATCAGCCCTCAACAAACAGACCTGAGACTATCACCAACCATCAACAAACAGACCTGAGAGACAGGGAGACACATCAGACCTGTCTGAGACAAACTAACCTGGACTATCCTCAGGCTTCATCTGAACCACCGCTCCGATGATCATCACAGATATCATCAGTATGAACAGAGGCACTCTCAGAGGACCGGCAGCATTGGCAAAGTGAAGCAGCAGGGAGACCCACACTGGAGCCGACAGGTAGCGCAGCCATTTCTGAGAAGTGGGTAAAGGCTTCCATAGCACAGCCACACCAATGAGGTAAGCGGCAAAGAAGGTCCAAACCTGTGTGGGTAGGAAGGGGGGGGATGGTAAATTACAGGCAATCGTTTCGTAGTTCACTGGTAAAATATTACGTAAAGGATCTTTTCATCCCTATGCTGCAATGAGGTATAGAGAAGCGGATCCACCATGGTGTAATAGCTAGGTTACCAGTTTGATCCAGCCATAAGTGAGTACCTGGTGAAGTTCTGGGAAGTTAAGGAGGTCGCATGATAAGGACCTAGCCTCAAGAGACCTGTACTTTAACTTTAAAGATGAGTAGCTAACCAAATGGTTAAAAAATGCAAACCTCTCAAGTTAGAGACCTGGATTTGAACACGCGGAAGGTCATTAATTAATTTTTCTGTCGGAGGCAAAAAAAACAATCCCAGCCTGCACAGTGCATGGCGACAGCACTAGCCATGTACCCATAAATCCTCAGGCTCAAAGACACCCCTGCCTACATTATGAAAGTGGTATTTATATGCAGTATTGGATCTCTGTCCACGCCTTCAGGTGTCCTAGGTGTATAGGGCTAGACCTTTATTTTATAGTCCAATCAGCATTCAGTGGGGGATGTGGTCAGCATCATAAGGTAAAAGAGAAAGTGCAAAAGAAGAATCCATTGTACCTTACTGGTTATCCTCCGAATAACAGTCCTTCCGTCGTCTTAAATTGCACACTTCCGGTGACTTCAGCCACCACTGAGAGTGCGCAATTGATACGTGACTGAGGATCAGTTAGGCTATATTTTCTGCCTCGATAATTTAGGACCGTTATTCGGAGGATAGCCGACCTTACCTTTAATTTAACTCTTTTCTTTTTAAATTTCAACAATTTCAACTCCTTAAGACTCAAGATTGTTAATATAAATTTCAAACACTTTGCAGCAGAAAGTGTTGCAATTAACAATCTCCTGGGATTATATCAAGATATACTGGGTATAATGCTCAACAACTCTCTGCAAAGCCGTTCCATTTTCAGGGACACTGTTGAGCTGCTTTTCAAAGCTTCTGGAATAGATGACATCAAGGAGATATTGGAGTGTATGGAGTGTAGAGTTTTATTGACACAGCCTCGACCACTTTTAGCAAATGTCTATTCAAACTCTACTCTGCTATGTTATGTAAACAGAAAGATCACATGATCAATCTGAAGTTACCATGGTAATCTTAGGACTGATTTTGAATTAAGGAGATAGTTTGGGAGGGATTGGTCCTGGAAACCTATCAATAATTCCCTGACAACAGGTAGTCTCCATAAAACGTGAAGAAAGTGGCAAAGGAGGAAACAAACAATTTCATGCAAATGAATACCATATTTTTCCGTGTGTAAGATTCAACTTTTCCCAAATTTCTTTCACTTTACAACTGGGGATAGTCTTTTACACAAAATTTTAATATATTTATTTTTCAATTCTCAGCTAAACAAAAACGGGGTTGCTTTTTACATAGAAAGGAGGACGGGGGGCATCTTATTCACGAAAAAATATGGTAACTAAGCTGACTGCATAAGCTTTTTATATCATCATCTAATTTTGATGCTCCTGAACTACAATGTTACAATGAAGCATAAACAGTGGCACAGTGCCTGTATCTGTGTTATACATAGCAGAGTCACTTTAGGCTCTATTATTTGCTCTGTTCGTATCCATAGTTTGAGAGCCATCGTGATGTAGTGGCCAGACGCTAATTTGTGGATCATAAAATCACGGGTTCAGGTCCTGGCAGAGCTGGACTTTTTTTTTTAAATGACCTCAGTTCCAAGGCTGCCTCAAGTGTACATGCGTACGTGGTACAGTTAGTATAGGATGAACCCGGTTAGTGAAGGATGCGCCTGGTTAGTGAAGGATGAAACCAGTTAGGGAAGGGTGAACCTGGTTAGCAAAGGGTGAACCCAGTTAGTAAAGGGTGAACCCAGTTAGTAAAGGGTGAACCCAGTTAGTAAAGGGTAAACCTAGTTAGTAAAGTATGAGTGAGACTGATTATTATTTGATCCTAGGATGTGCCAGGTTAGTAAAGTATGAGCCAAGTTGTGAGTTAGTAAAGTATGAGTCATCAGTCAAGTTAGTAAAGTATGAGTCATCAGTCAAGTTAGTAAAGTATGAGTCATCAGTCAAGTTAGTAAAGTATATGCAAGACTAAAGATTAATGATCAGTGTAAAATGCCTGGTTAGTAAAGTAAAATGCCTGGTTAGTAAAGTATGAGTCAAGTTAGCAAATTATCAGCCGAGTTATGAGTTAGTAAAGTATGAGTCATCAGTCAAGTTAATACATTATATGGAGACTGAGAATTAAAGATGAGTGTAAACTGTAAATGTTGGAGCCTGAGGACAGGAGGTGCCTCAAGTCGTAGCTAATGTTTGATATCCCTGTGGCTGAGTAGGCCATACTTTCTCTGAATCGCATCAACTTACCCAGCTGGTACTGAAATACTCCAGAAACTCATACAACCAGCTAAGCAGCATCCCCAAAAACGGAATTGCTTTGCGGAGAGGGGTAAAGTAATAGACCCAGTAGATGCTCGGAATTCCCAGAAAAAGCCCAAGGACTATTTTGATGTTGGACCAAATTATAGTAGAAATTGATTCCGCCAGCGAATTTCCTATCTGCAGGGGCAGAATAGCCAAACCAACTGCAAAAGGCGTTCCCGATTTGTCCAATCCCTTTAGCCATTGCCGCAGAAGGTTGGTCAAGCTTCGTTTGAAAGGGTACAGAAATGTACCGCAAAGTAAAGCCCAATACAGCGGTCTGATAAAAGGCGCGAGGATGAAGTAGACTGTGACGGCGACTGCGGCCGCTATGACGACGAAAATATTTGCAGCGGTGTTGTAGAAAGCTTGTTTCAGCGCTTTCTCGTGGCCCTGCGGCAGGTATTGCCAGACGGTGTTGAGGTACTCCAGCGACGGGGTCGACATCTTGGATTTTGTTTTGGTTGCAAATTGGGTACTGTCACGTGACCATAGGGGAAACTACTCTGTTTTTTTTTAGTCCAACATCAGTCACGACCCAGCCTTGAATGGGTACTAGGTGGAGTCCTAGGAAGTAAAGGCGGTCAGTGTGAGGCTGAATAGTGGGACCCTACTTGGTGCCAATTATTCTATAAAATATAGGTCTAGGAAGAAGAGGAGGAGGAAGAAGGAAAAGGAGGAGGAGAAGAAGAAGCCCCAAGCAAAACACAATTTGTCTTGGCACCAAGGTGTCTGAGCTCTGGGGTTACATATGTTGTGCAAAAGCAAAGCGGATACTGAGATAACTAACATCACCCCTGACACATAAATGGATACCTTTGTCCACCAAGGCAAATTATTAAATGGCCAACATTATGCTGCAACTTTCAATCATGCACCCTTACTGCAACTAACGAGTCTTAATTTACAAAAGAGATGAGAAAATAAAAAGCCACAGAATTATGTACAGGGATGCAAATACCCATTTTTTTAGGGGGTGAATTTATGACAAGGGCACATTAATGATATTTATAGCATCAATAAACGTAGATAGCAGCTCATCTGACAGCTAACCACACACAGAAACAAACGTAGATAGCAGCTCATCTGACAGCTAACCATACACAGAAACAAACGTAGATAGCAGCTCATCTGACAGCTAACCATACGCAGAAACAAATGTAGATGGCAGCTCATCTGACAGCTAACCACACACAGAAACAAATGTAGATGGCAGCTCATCTGACAGATAACCACACACAGAAACAAATGTAGATGGCAGCTCATCTGACAGCTAACCACACACAGAAACAAATGTAGATGGCAGCTCATCTGACAGCTAACCATACACAGAAACAAATGTAGATGGCAGCTCATCTGACAGCTAACCAAACACAGAAACAAATGTAGATGGCAGCTCATCTGACAGCTAACCAAACACAGAAACAAATGTAGATGGCAGCTCATCTGACAACTTGCCAAACACAGAAACAAATGTAGATGGCAGCTCATCTGACAGCTAACCACACACAGAAACAAATGTAGATGGCAGCTCATCTGACAGCTAACCAAACACAGAAACAAATGTAGATGGCAGCTCATCTCACAGCTAATCTAACACAGAAACAGATAAATGTAGACGGCAGCTCATCTGAAAGCTAACCACACACAGAAGCAAATGTAGATGGCAGCTTATCTGACAGCTAACCGCACACAGAAACAAATGTAGACCGCAGCTCATCTGTCAAATCCCATGTTATAAAATTACAATTTTCAGCTAATGCGACATCTGGTGCTGTTTAGGAGGCTACAAAATCTCTGCAGTGCTAATTCTCACACACGGCCCATGGTTTGAAAAACACTGCCCTAAATGTCAGTGACATATACCATCCTCCAGATTATTTACTCATCCTTTCTTGAATTTGTCTCATTTAATGTTCAATTTCCTTAGTCATCTGCTTTCAAAAGTATTCAGCTTTCCCAGTCTTCGGCGGTTCTCCAAGTTTTTTTTATAGCGCATGCTAAAAATTGAAATAAATGTAAAATACATAACCAAGTTTGAAAAGTACGTACAGTTTCATACTTAATTTATTGAAGCTTAAACACCATTTCGTTTTTTTACGTAAGTGCGAGCATCTCATAATCACATGGAGGCAAGACAGCACACAAACATGCTGTTTGAAATGCTCCGTCTGTCTGTCTGTCTGATCTGTCTCTCTGTGTGTGCGTGTGTGTGTGCGTAATAATTCACAGCAAAAGGAACTTTACTGCTAATAAAAGGCACTAGTTGTAAGGTTTCTTCTCCCATGATGCAATACTGTATGAAAATGCACACAACGCCTTTAAATGCAAAGTACAAATGTACCTCCATATTTTGATCTGATCACCAATCTATTAACACTCATGTTAAAGGTCATGAGAGTCCATGCCACTTAGGAAGGGAACATGCAGATGTTTTTTGTTTTAGTGTATATACATTTATGGAGGTTAGGTTGCGTATCCTTTACAGGACACGCTGCAGAACCAACCCTAACAGCCCCTGGCTGTTGTGTGGGTGTTTTTTTTTTTTTTTAGGCAAATTTTCATCTAGTGGTTTGCCATTACTTTCATGACGGTCGGCTTTCTTGATACCACTGTCGAGAAACCAACGCAAGGCGCATGGCCCGCAGTTGGGATCGAACCAGGCATTACGAAGCGTTCGCATCGACTTAGCCACAGAGCCGACATATATATACGCACACACACACACACTCACTCACACACACTCACACTTATTTCACACACACACACATACACACACATTATATATATATATATATATATATATATATATATATATATATATATATATATATATATATATGTCTCCAATGCTGTTACGCCGAGGGCGGGGCTGAGGATAAGCTCTCAGTCTCCAAGAAATACCCTCAAGGCATGCGTCTCTCAAAGCCTCTGACAGCAACAGTCCAACTCCTGGCCTTCTCGTGGCGGAGATGTTTAAACTAACAGGAGAAGGGGCGAAGGCGGGTCTCTGGCGCTTTAACTAGACGCTTCGGGTAGATGAGGCTCGTCAGTACGGGAGTGCAGCTCATCTAGGAGAAGGAAAACTCTGATTTCAAACCACGGGCAGATGAGGCTCGCCAGCACGGGAGTGCAGCTCATCTAGGAGAAGGTAAACTCTGACTACACACCTCCACTGCCTTGTGGCCATACCCATGTTTGGGAAAGCGCTTCGGGAGTAAACCCTGAGGAAAAATCCGGAGCTGGAATCCCTAAGGCGGTTTAGCATTGTATACAGTGCTATTCTGGCAATTCCTGCAACGTCCTCGGTGCCAAGTTGTACTGGTTTTTGCCTTTCCCTTGGTATCACCGGCGACGTAGAGAGGGGGTACTTGCTGCCTGGGCAACAGTCTGTACTCCAAATCAAAACGCCCTGGCCTGTGCCCTGGAAAGGTCACTCCAGCGATGCTTAACAGTTTCGACACAACACGGGAAACATCAGTCACCGGTTATAAGCCTTTGCTCAATTGGCGTAGAGCTAGGCGCCAGGGGTTGTTTCCGACGGTGGGAGAGACCATCGTAGTCTCATTGGACAGCTACCGCCCGTCTCAGCTGGGCAGCCCCCAGTCAGTAAGGTGTTGTCCCGCCACGATCCGTTTGCCTTGTTGGGTGCACAGGGCTTAGGGGATAACCCGACACACGGATTATAATCCTTGTACCTACACAAAGAAGCAAAAAAATCAGATTCCCAGCTCTAAAGCTGGGCACATGGAACGTGAGGACCATGACACCTGGTATTCTGGACGATCTGCAGCATATGAGCGATGTAAGGAAAACTGCAGTCATTAACAATGAACTGTCCCGATTGAACGTAGACATTGTTGCCCTACAGGAAACCCGGCTCTCCTTCTCAGGTAGCATCAAAGAGAAGGACTTCACATTCTTCTGGCAGGGAAAACCATCTTCGGAGCCCATGGAACAAGGCGTAGGCTTTGCGATTAGGAACCGATTGCTTGGAACTGCCACACCACCTACAGGAGGATCAGAAAGGATCCTTAAAATTCAGGTCCAGACAAGAGCTGGATCAGTCACTCTGATAAGTGCCTATGCACCAACCCTGCCCTCTTCTCCCGATTCCAAGGACAAATTTTAAGAGGAACTCAGTTCCACACTCAGCGAAGTCCCGGACAGGGAAGCCCTATTCATTTTGGGTGACTTTAATGCAAGAGTGGGCGCTGAGCACAGCTCATGGCCATCCTGTATGGGACATTTTGGAGTGGGGAAAATGAATGAAAATGGACAGAGGCTGCTTGAGCTATGCTGTCTTCACAACCTCTGCATCACAAATACCTTTTTTGATCTGAAGCCCCAGCACAAGGTCTCTTGGAGACATCCCAGATCTAAGCACTGGCACCAGCTTGACATCATCCTCACTAGACGCAGTCACCTTCATCTTGTAAAGGTCACTCGCAGCTATCACAGTGCAGATTGTGACACAGATCACTCCCTTGTGTGCAGCAAAGTGAAGTTAATCCCAAGCAGAATACATCGGGCAAAGAGGCCAGGACGGCCACGCATTGACACAGGAGAAAGTCGTAATCCTGGAAAAGTAGGAGAATTTATAAAAATCCTGAGCACAGCTCTGCCCGGCCCACCAAACGCGGATGCTAGTGACAGATGGAAACATCTAAAACACGCCCTATATGATTCTGCCATGTCCGTGTTCGTTAAGAGGCAAGTTAAATCCCTGGACTGGTTTGAGGAACACAAGGAAGAAATGTTGCCAATAATAGAGGAGAAGGAAAAAGGCTTTATTGGGATATAAATCCAGCCGAATATCAGAAATCTGCAAGTGCTCAGGTCCATTCGGTCTAGAGCCCAGAAAACTGCACGGCGCTGCGCTAATGATTACTGGATCAAACTTTGTGAGAGGATACAAACCTCAGCAGCTACTGGCAACATAAGGAAATGTATGCTGGCATCAAGAAGGCTATTGGGCCAGTAAAAAAGAAAGATTGCCCCTCTCAAATCAACCACGGGCGAAATCGTGTCTGCCAACCATGGGTGAAACTAGACACGAACCCTCCGTCACAGAAATCGGTGAGGCAGTAGATGGGCTTCCTTCAGGGAAGGCCCCAGGAGAGGATGGTATCCCACCTGAGATCCTAAAATGCTCCAAGGATGCTATTCTTCCTGAGCTACACAAGATTCCTCTGTCAGTATTGGCAAGAAAAATCGGTGCCACAGGATATGAGAGATGCCAACATTATAACTCTCTGTAAAAAAATAAAGGAGATAGAAGCGACTGCAACAACTATCGCGGTATTTCTCTATTGAATTATGTGGGAAAAGTCTTTGCTCGTGTTATCCTAAAGAGGTTGCAAATTCTAGCGGACAGAGTATACCCGGAATCACAGTGTGGGTTTAGGGCCAAGAGATCAACACTTGATATGATATTCTCCATCAGGCAGCTACAAGAAAAGTGCAGAGAGCAACAGAGGCCACTGTTCATTGCTTTCATAGATCTCACTAAGGCCTTTGACTATGTCAGCAGAGATGGTCTATTCGGGATCCTTGAAAAAATATGGATGCCCACCTATACTACTGAGCCTAATCAAATCCTTTCCATGAGAATATGAGGGGACCATAATATATGAGGATTCATCATCTCGACCCTTCCAGATTCGAAATGGAGTAAAGCAAGGATGTGTTCTGGCTCCCACGCTGTTTGGAATCTTTTTTACCCGCATTATTGAGGCGTGCATTTGGGACAGCAACTGAGGGGATATACCTCCGTTCGAGGTCAGATGGCAATCTTTTTAATCTGTCCAGGCTACGTGCAAGGACGAAGGTGCACACGAGATGCCTCAGGGATTTTATGTTTGCGGATGATGCAGCCATTGTGGCACACTCAGAGGATGATCTGCAGATCCTGATGAATCGCTTTGCAAATGCTTGCAAAGAATTTGGGCTTACCATCAGTCTAAACAAAACACAAGTGATGGGATTGAATGTTGGAAATCCACCAAACATTAGTGTGTATGACCATCAGCTGCTGGCTGTAAATGAGTTTGAGTACCTAGGCTCACGTATCTCAAGCAATCATTCTCTGGATGCAGAACTAAACAAACGTATAGGAAAGGCCTCTGCTATGTTTGCAAATCTCACAAAGAGAGTCTGGTCAAACAAAAAGCTAACTGATACCACAAAAATGAAGGTTTATGAGTATTGTGTCCTGAGCACATTACTGTACGGCTGCGAATCCTGGACTCTCTATGCTCCACAGGAAAAAAGACTGAATACCTTCCATATGCGCTGTCTGAGACGCATCCTTGGTATATTATGGCGAGACCTTGTCTCCAACGAATGTGTGCTCACAAGAGCAAAAATACCATCAATGTATTGTATACTGAAGCAAAGACGTCTGCGCTGGCTGGGACATGTCTCCCGCATGGAGGATGGTCGTATTCCAAAAGATCTCCTATATGGTGAATTGGTAACTGGGAATAGACCTACAGGAAGGCCAAAGCTGCGCTATAAAGATGTATGCAAACGTGACCTAATAGATACCAACATAGGCACAGAGACATGGGAAAAATCAGCTGCAGATCGACTACTATGGAGACAGAAAGTGAAAGATGGACTGTCACATTTTGAAAAAAACGAACACAACGAGCTGTGGAGAGGAGGCACCGGAGAGTAAAACTGCCTCACAACGAGGGAGTATCTGCTTTTGTGTGTATCCTGAGTGGCAAAGACTGCCATTCCCGCATTGGACTTAACAGTCACAGCAGATGCTGTTCCCAAAGCCAGCGGCACATCTCCATAGTCCCCCGGGACTGACGGATGCCATTAAAAAAAAAAATATATTATATATATATATATATATATATATATATATATATATATATTATATATATATATATATGCGTTCGCATCGACTTAGCCACAGAGCCGACGTATATATACATATATATACGCACAGACACACACACTCACATAATATGTATTTATATGCGTTCGCATCGACTTAGCCACAGAGCCGACATATATATATACATATATATATACGCACACACACACACACTCTCACACACACACTCTTACATATTATATATATATAAATGCTTTCGCATCGACTTAGCCACAGAGCCGACATATATATATACATATATATATATGCACACACACTTACTCACACAACGCACACACACTCACGCACACAAAGTGTTTTTTCTGCCTTCCATTCCTCAATGAACCACATAGGCCTACATACATTCATTTCAGCCCTGAATTGGGCTCTCAAGCCCCATCTAACCATTTGCAGCTCCCATCCAATATTAATCAATCTTTTTCCTATTTCTTTTCAGGTCCATTGGTCGGCTCTATGGCCAAGTCAATGCAAATGCTTTGAAATGCCTGGGTGCCGGGTTCAATTCCAGCAGCGGGCCATGCACCTTGCATTGGTTTCAACAGTGGTTTTAGGGGGGCCTGCTGTCCAAAAAAAACGAAAAAAAAAATTGCAAACTACTAAATGTAAATTTGCCTAGAGAAACCACACAACAGCCAAGGGCTGCTGGGGTTGGTTCTGCAACATCCTGTAAAGGATACGCAACTAACCTTTCAGGTCCATTTCTTCAGCCTAGGGAGTTCCGAAAGATAAACAAACCAGCTTTTCTAATGTCATACCCAGTAATATTTTTTCTAAACACTTAGAAAAACCCAATTAATCCGCCCAGTTCCCTCCCTAACTTCTCAAAAATTGGCAGCTTCTACAAGCGCCACTCAGGAAAGAGCCGAAACATTTCAGCTTAACTGTTCTGTTTATCCCACATTTCTGCTTTATAGTTGTTCCATTTTCTTTAATTTTTAGGTATTTGGCAGGTTTTCAAGGTTCCGTTGCGGTCATCCAAAGATGCAAGTGCATTGCTCCCGTTCTGTACGGCTTCTGTACGGTGTGGTTTCAATGTTCGTGCTTTTCTGCCAACACATCCGACTTCTGCAGGCAATTGGTTTACTGTGCAAGTCTTCCCTACCCAGTTTCTTAAGTTCTATTCTGAAAGTTCTATCTAGCAAACCAAAAATGCATAACATAAAAATTATCAATAGTAGACACTGCATTTTTTTTTTAAAGCAATTTATTTCACCAACATAATAATAATACCGAATACAAACTACAAAGTCTATAAAGTTGTTATAGGGTAGTCTATGAAAGTTGTTATAGGATACATAACAAACAACAAATGTTGCACATGCCAAAAAAAAAAAAAAAATAAAAAGAAACTTAAACTACAAAATAACATGAAGTACAAGAAGAAAATATCAGCAAACCACTCTCGGCCGCTGAAGACTAAGAAAGCTTTCATAAGTAAAAAAAAAAGCTGCAACTAACATTCTTTTACAATCTCTGCTAATAATACAAACAATGCATGGAAGAAACAAAAAGACAATTTGACGATCCACACAGCTACTGAACATACATAGTTGGCGACTGAAGTAAGTGACAACGCCACATATGATCTGAATAACACATATCTTGCATAATAATACAGATGTACATAAATGAAAAACCATACTACTTCAAGTAATTTCTTTTTTCAAAAATTTAAAAAAGCAAAACAAAATGCTTGCTCTGAATCTTGTTTCAAACAAAATCTAAATTTACAAACATTTCAATCTCCGCAAAACAGTACTAGAAAATTGATAAATTTAATCTAACTAAAGTTAACGAGAAAAAAAAAAACCTTTAAAGTTTACCAAGTAAATATCCTTACCTAGAAAGAAAAATAATGTACCAATCTAACATTGTTTCATTTTCCACAACTTATAATACTGCAGAAAAAGAAATCTTTCATACAACACTTAAGTAACAAATATAAAATGAAGAAGAGATAAGCTTGGAGAAAGGGAACAATTTGAAAAAATGTTCCACTTGCTCCCTAAACCGTTTGCGGGTGCCATTTATTTTTTGTACTCGACCGCAATGGGAACTTCCTTCTCAATTTCTTTCTTAGGGATTTTGATGTTGAGGATTCCATTGCTGTTCATGGTGGATGTCATCGACTTACAATCTGCATTCTGAAAAAAATTAAAAAAGAACAAAAACGATGTCAGATACAGCCAGCAGACCAACTTGGAACTAACTCTTAATACCCACCCACTCAACGAGGTTACACAAACCCATTTCAGTGCCCCAATTAGAAATGTCTTTGCTTGCTGAACAGAGTACCTGGGAGGGATTGCCCAGTGTGCCATCCGGGATGAGACTTCATAATCTCAGGACGTCAACATTTCATTCAGCTAGCAGCCTGGAAAGCAGCCCAGAAAGCAGCCCAGAAAGCAGCCCAAAAGAAGAGAGAGAGAGGGCTCATAAAATGAATTATAGAATTTTATTAAACAATAATCCTACTATGAAGATTCCCAATGAGCCCTTACCCTGAGAGAAGATATGTGCGGTAACATCATGGGTGTCCTAATTATATATTTTTAGAGGATGAACAAAATCAGGGTGCTTTGGGTGCTTTAGCTGACCATAAATGACTTCACAGGACGGTCCGATACTTCAGAGGTTGGTATAGTGGGTTCTCCTCATTTTTTTCTCTGTGCTTCAGCGCGTTTCAAGGCCAGGGTTTTCGAATATTACCCTAACCAAAACTAGACCATTACCTTAACCAAAACTATACGCTTAAATCTAAAAAAAAAAAAAAAAAAAAACTAAATACTTGACTGGTGACCTGTGGATTTCCCGTTTGTCACCGGATAATACGAAAGTACAGGGTTTTGCAATGTCAGACTGCTATCATGAAAAATGTGGACCCAAGTTGTAGGAGTCAACAAATCATTAGATACAGCCTGACCAGAAAAGGGGGGGGGGGGGGGGGGGGAGACTGTGAAACAATTTCTAACATGTGCGCCACAAACTCAGTTTAGTAAATAAAGGACTCATCCTTACATCTTTGTAGTAGAGCATATTATGCTATTTCATAGCACAAAAAGGCACTCGCTCAAGGGTGATACGATGAAGATCATGCCGGCCACCTTTACCTCCCAGGACGTGATCATCTGGTATGTAAGACCTGCACCACCTGGGGGGCAAAGTCAATTTTCACAACGATTAAAAAAAAAAACTGCCCAGATGCAAGATTAAAAACCGAGACCTTTGGACTGTCAGGCCAGCATATACAAACAAGGTACAGCAATAATTGAAATTGAATACAAACAAGGTACAGCAATAATTGAAATTGAATAAACAAACCCCTGGGGTTTTTATTACAGCAGTTAGCATGCGCCAGTGTGCGGTTACTGTTCAATCTTCACGCATAAGCATGTGTAAAAGGGTTTCTGTTTCTACTAGGCATGACAGTAAAAAGCTAAAAGGCCCCTTTTCCACGCATTTTGACACATAGGGCTAGACCTTTATTTTTATAAACCTCAGCACAAGATGGGTGATGTGGTCAACATCATGCCAGCCACCTTTGCTTCCCAGGACGCGTGCGGTACGCACTCGAGGCTAGGTCGACCTGGGAGTCAATGTCATGTTTTAAAAACGTCCAGCTCCACCATGACCTCCTGATCCACACTCAAGTGTCTATCCGCTACTTAGCTACACCACGGCAACTTCATGCACGACTGGCCGCCTCATTATATTTCTAGACCAACAGGCACATTAGCCGGGGCAGCAAAACAACAAGGCAGTTCCAGACTAACAGCAGGCACGGTGAAGGGGTGGGGTGGGGGCAGCAAAATAACACTGCCTGCCTTTACTTCAATGAACATTCCTTTGTATATCCACTGTAGTAAGCTGAGTTGGTCTGACTGCAGAGGCAACAGTACTTCAGAGGTATCGTATCTCAATGTGGTCAATGCAGGTAAGCTGCCTTCACTTTCTTGAAGATTTCCTGTCATCCATTGTAGGTTGGCCCGAGAGTGTATCCTACAGCCCCCCCCCCCCCCCCCCCCCCCCCCCCCCCCCCCCCCCCCCCCCCCCCCCCCCCCCCCCCCCCCCCCCCCACCCCTCCCCCCCCCCCCCCCCCCCCCCCCCCCCCCCCCCCCCCCCCCCCCCCCCCCCCCCCCCCCGCCCCCTCCCCCCCCCCCCCCCCCCCCCCCCCCCCCCCCCACCCCCCCCCCCCCCCCCCCCTTAACATACATCAAAACGTGTCTCCCCCCCCCCCCCCCCCCCCCAAAAAAAAAAAACCTAAACAAAACTAAAAAAAAAAAATTTTAAGACTTAATTATACAATAAAATAAGACGATCCTTACCTCCGGCATCTTGTAAGACCTTTTAATTTCTCTGCAGATAGTGCCATACTTGTCCGCCTTCTCTTCATGCTTAGCATGGATAGTGAGCCGCTTACCGTCCGTTGAAACATGTATCTCTTCTGGCTTGAAATGACTCACATCCGAACGAACACAAATCTGGGAATCTGTTTCATTCACCTAAAGGAAACAAAAATGTACAGCAAAAACATGTGTTAGACAATTTGCTGGGAACCATCAGGGGTTAGCTAGCTTCTGCCCCTTGTCCCTCAATGGAGCACAGGCTACACAACTAGTGCCAGTTCATCCATTTTTTGTCATCATCATCATCAGTCTTGATGAAACATTCATTACATGTCACAGACCTCACAGTGTATTCCTCAATCCTCTTTTGCGAAATCAATTAAATAAAAATTCCCCAATCCTGTTCTGTGAAATCCCTTCAATAAAAACTCCATCCTGTTTTTTGATCCCTTCAATTAAAAAAAAAAATGATACCCAGTCCAGCAGCTTTGGCCTCTCATCAATAACTGTCATATGGTTTTTCTTTTGGCAGCTTCGCTTCCTCAGCATCTTTTTTTCTATATTACTACTTTCTGTGTTCTCTTCTCTCCTTTCTTATTTACTATATACACACACAATATCCACACACGCTAAAAATTTGAAGCAATCAATCCAGAAAATCCTGAAAATGAACTTTTTCCAGAGGAAGAATTAAACCCATACAAAATAAAAGAACTAGCTAATATTTGCAGACTAAAGCTGAATGAGAATAGCCATCGCTACCCATCAAGCAATGGATCAATCGCAAAACTGTTCCCCCATCATGACTTTCAACTGCAGAAGTGAAAATATAACACCGCCTGCCTGTATGGGACAATTTTCCATAATCTGCTCTTATCCTTTACGACAGCAACAGCCACTGCTGCCCATCAAGCAATGGATCCATTGCAAAACTGTTCCTCCCCGCGGCAGAAGTGAAAACGTATGACTGCCGCTCATATCCATCATAGCGTACAATTTATACTCTTTTCTCCTAAAATTAGATTCAAGTCTTTCTACATTTGCTAATGTGCGTTTTTCTTGGCATCGCTGGTCCAGTGAAAGGACCAATCATGGTTTAATCTTCTGAAATCTGCAGTCCATTGACTGCATGCAGAAGTTTCCGGATGGTTGGTGGAAAATTCCAGATTGAACGCAGAAGTTACAAGAATGCAAGCAAAAATTTCCAGAACAGATTGCTGCATGCACAGTGGCTGGCAGAAATTTCTTAACTGTCCACAGGAATTTTGCTGACTACAATGGAAACTAAATTAAAAAACAAACTACAATCATGAAGGCATACTATACGTTTTTTTTTTTTTTATCACAGAAACTCTCTGTCCTTTAGCACTCCACACTTCAAAACCCTGTGTGGGTTCCAGGGCACCATTATAGCAGGAACAAGAATAGACCCATGCCTACCCAAAAGCATGTCCTAAGAGTCGACTGACTGGCAGCTTTCTTCGAAGTCAGAGTGCACCTGCCTGAGAGGCAAGGAACCAGCAGTTCGCATACAAATCAGATCTGTAAAACTGATGCACATGCAACACTCAGGTTCTGGAGCAGGACTGCAGTCCAGAAGTGGATGAACAACTAGATCTTTCTGCCGAATTTTACAGCTGGTGAACGTGAAAAAGAAAACCCTCAGTCAGTACCTTCATAGAGGTAACTGACCCGACAATCTGACGTGAGCATACACTAAAACCTCAGTGACCGGCTTTCATCTCTTCTTTTGAAGCCTACATTCACATATACAGTTGCACCAAACCGAAATAAGTAATCTAAACAGATACGAAAGCAATGACAAACTACTTACCTCAGTGCGCCCAAAATCGTTTAGAGGTTCGAAAAGCCGGTTGACCAGAGCAGGCCACCTATAGAGATCATCGGCCCATCTTGTGACAGGCATGACTGGCATGATGGGGTCGAAATCCTCAATCAGTCTTGGTACGACTGGAAACAATGCCATTGCGACTGTCTTGTTGTGTGCGTAGATTCTAAAATATCTTTGAAGAAGATGATAAAACGCTGTCCCGCTTAAATGGCACGGTAAACAACAAATATAGCTGCGATCTCGGATCTTAAGCAAGAACGCTTGCTCAATGCTCTGAACGCTTTCTGGCAAAACTTGATTCTGTCTCCAACAGTTTTCATCTCAGCTTATATACCCTTTTCAATATCTCCGCGATCCTTCTAGAGTTTCCGTTGTTTTTACTGCGACATTAGCCTTGGCTTCGAGAAACGCTTGTTTTGACGTCGTTTGTTTTTGTTTTTTTCCCGGGGCCGCCGCGATAAAAAATTAAAGTACATTTCTTATTCTAGAACGGTCCGTTCGGCTGTCAGTAGTCGATAACAAAAAATCCGGACCTTTCTAGAACTAATACTTCGCGTTTCAAATTCCAAAATGCAAAATAAAGTGGAATATTTAAAACTTTTTATGCATGGTTTAGAAATGGGTGGTATTTTTTAAATTTTGTATGGTACTAAATTATGATTACGAATTGTGTGATCGGGTGGCGGCTTCCGCCATTTTGTGTGTTTTGTTTACATTCCAGGAACTTTCAGCCATATAGTCTCGGCTAAAACTGCTAAAACAGGCCAATGTTGTTCTTATTTCAGCTGATTTTAGCAGTCAGGGTTTAACAAGAAAATAAACTGTTTGACCATAATTTGTTTCTTGTGGGTCTACTATTACTACCACCACCACTACTACTACTACTAATACTACTACCGCTGCTACAACAACTACTACTAGTGCAACAACAACTACTACAGTACTACTACCACCACTACTGCTTCTACTGCTACTGGTGGTGGTGCTGCTGATGCTAATAACGCTACTGGTGCTGCAGCTGCTGCTGATACTACTACTACTACTACTACTACTACTACTACTACTACTACTACTACTACTACTACTACTACTACTACTACTACTACTACTGCATCTACTAACGCTACTGGTGCTGATGCTACTAACGCTAATGGTGCTGCTGCTGCTGCTATTACTACTACCAACTCCTTCGCAATCTCTCACTCCTCCTCCTCGTGAACTTCTTCTTCTTCTTCTTTTTCTTCTTCTTGTGTTTCTTCCTCTTCTTCTTTCGCTTGTAAGGCAGCATTGCTGCTCATCTATACGCCGATTAACAGAGGTCCAAGCTTCCTCCTGTACACGTTCATCAACTATGAGATAGTTTTCATCAAGTGCCCAGTTATGATGGTGATGGTTGTGACGATGAAGATGAACACAGTGATGATAAGAATGGTGATGATAATGTTGTGATGGGCTGAGAGTGGAGTGACATAATCTAATAAATGCAACATAAGTGGTGGATGTGACGATGAAGATGAACACAGTGATGATAATAATGGTGATGATAATATTGCGAATGGGTTGACAGTAGAGTGATATAATCTTATAAAGGCTACATAAGTCTTTGATGTGAAAAAAATAAATTATGCTGGTGGTATTGGTGGTTGCAATGATGCAGTGAATATGATGATGATGATGATGATGATGATGATGATGATGATGATGATGATGATGATGATGATGATGATAGTGATTATAATGCAGCTGATTTTGCTGTTGCTGATGATGATTTTGCTATTGTGGCTGATGATGGCAACGATGATGATAATTATGATGGTGGTGTTGATGATGATGATGTAAACAGGCATAGCTGTTATTGCTAATGATGATAATGAGGACGACGATGAGCAGTAACATATTCAGATTACCTGATCGCCAGTTTGTGAACCGACCTACTGGAAAATGATTCGAGGCTGCCTGGCGTCCGCCTAGAGTGCTAGAGGTCCCGGGTTCAAGACCTGGTGAAGGCTGTGATTTTTTCACGTGGACTTCTAGTAATTTTTCCTGGTCTCTGAGTAGTGATTTCGGACTCCCGTGTGTGTTGTTGTCTAATGACACTGCCCGGGAAAAATTTGAAGTTAAAAATCTACGGAGCCTGTGCCTTGTGCTGAGCTACTACGGACTTGAGTTAGAAGTAGAACGGAGCACTTATGTGCAATGAAGTTAATCCGTTGTTCGAACAAATTTCAAACTTTAAACAAGAAAAAAGATGACGGCGATGAAATTAATTAATTTAAACAATGATTAACACCCCCTCTATCTATGCAGTTAATAAACAGCTGTAAAAGAAAAAAATAGTCTTTGAATCTTGGACATATTCTTAAAAAGTAATTCTTTCAATCGGCTTAACTGATGATGGTGGTGATGATGATGATGTTATCGGTGTAAATGTTGTTGTTATTACTGATGATAATAGCGATGGTCGGCTCTGTGGCTAAGTCGATGCGAACGCTTCGCTTCGTAGTGCCAGGTTCAATCCCTTCTGCGGGCAGTGCGCCTTGCGTTGGTTTCGACAGTGGTATCAAGAAAGCCGAACGTCCAGAAGCGATGGCAAACTACTGGATGTAACTTGCCTAGAGAAACCACACAACAGCCAGGGGCTGTTGGGGTTGGTTCTGCATCGTCCTGTAAAGGATACGCAACTAACTAGAACTAGAAAATAACGATGACGACAACGAAGAGAACAGTAGAGTGACGTGTTCAGATGACTGCTTCTTCTGTGCTCACCGGCTGAAAGCTCTGGTTGAAAGTTCTGTGTGTTCGTCCATTTGGAATTTGGCTTTGTGCTAGGGTCTGAGTTTAGCGTGTACATCTGTTTTACTAAGTTATTCATGTGCAGCTGGATGGTGATATTAAGAATGGTATTGCTGATTCTGATGATAATAATGATGTAAACAGTAGATGAGCGCATTGTCAATTTTTTGAACCGACTAACAAGAAAAGGGAGATAATGACGAAATCAACCAATATATTCAATGATAAAGATCGCATCTATCTGTGCACTTCATAAAACAGCTGTTATGACACTGAACTCTCCAGGACAACCAGGCTTGTTGTCTGTGCTGATACATACTTAACATCACTAACCACAAAATCAATATCGACAGAGCTTTTCTGGCCACCTGTGACCCGCCTGCTCTTTAATATATTGTATATAATCCGGGCTAGAGGCCAGATCGATAAAACACAGGCGTCCCTGATTGTTTGTGGTGAGGTGTGTTCTTAACAAAATTAAGACATAAAGCTGGTTATAATGAGAAGCGCATAATAAACGTCAACACCGAGAAGCGTACAATATATTTAATTTTAACCCTCAAGGACATATACACATGATTTTTTTTTTTACACTGCTAAACGTATGTTTTAACACCGAGAAGCTTACAATATATTTAATTGTAACACTTAGGGACATTTACACATGATTTTTTACACCTATAAACGTATACGTTTTAACACTGAGAAGCATAGCAAATATAAATATTAAAAAGATTTAACAACAAGAAACATAAAAGAGATTTAGTTTTCAACATAAAAAAGAATGAGATTGATTTTTCACACGGAAAAGCGTATGTAAAGCTTATATTTTACACTGAGAGGCACGTAACATAATTTCCAAGAAGCTTACACGATGTGAGAAACTGTTAACACTGGGAAGATTATAAGAGACTTTTAACATGGATTACTTTCTAAGAGACTTCACTAATAGCTTATGTGCGACTGTTAACACTGGCAATTAATCAGAGATTTAGTACTGGGAAGCTTATAAGAACATTTTAGCGCCGAGAAGCTTGTCAGAGACTTTTCTAGCTGATAAACTATAACAGATTTAACACCGAGAACTTATGAGGCTAGTAACACTGGGAACTTATGAGGCTTGTAACACCGAGAACTTATGAGGCTTGTAACACTGGGAACTTATGAGCCACTTTCAACACTAAGAACTTATAAGAAATTTAGTTTTAACATTGAGAAGCATGTACAAGACTGATTTAACATCAGTTTCAAGTATCACACAGACCTGACTTTAGTACCAAGCACTTTGGTTCACTGGTAATAGGGAATGGGATGGGAGAGATGTTTGGCGTGATAAAATTAATGAGCTACTAGAAATATTGGGACAATTAAGAACATTCTTCTTCGCGTTCAATGGCTGTAAACTTCGGTAGAAAGTTTTGTTTGTTTGTCCAGGTCTTGTCCCAGAACTTAGGTATTGCGTCTACATCTGTTTTACATATCTGGCTTATTTGAATGCAGACTGTTAGTTACTAGCCTCTTAGGCAGATGCACTCCAACTTCGAACGAAAAGAGCCTTTTAAAAAAGATACTAAAGTGTTGCAAATTCCTAAAAAGAAAAAGATTTGTTACGATCTATATATAATCAGTTTTGATATACGGAACTGAATCTGGACTTATAGCAAATCAGAACTTCTTCTTCTTCTTCTTTCCCTCCTTCTTCTTCTTTCCCTCCTTCTTCTTCTTGTCTTCTTCTTCTTTTCTTTTTCTTCTTCTTCTTCCTCCTCCTCCCACTTCTTCTTCTTCTTTTTCTCCTACTACTACTACAACAACTACTACTACTACTACTACTACTACTACTACTACTACTACTACTACTTATTACTACTACTGATTACTACAACAACAACAACAACTACTACTACTACTACTACTACTACTACTACTACTACTACTACTACTACTACTACTACTACTACTACTACTACTACTACTATAACTCTTCTTCTCTTTTTCTTCTTTTTCTTCTTCTTCTCTCTATTATCTTCCAGTGTCATATAGGCTCTCAACCAAGTGAAGCCAGGTCGGCCTAACTTTTGCTTTCTCATGCAGTTCATCCCGTATTCTCCCCATCTTTTCTCATCGCATTGACTAATTCCCTTCTCCGTGTTAGTTTTTCCACTCCCATATTTCTTTGACCCTGTGGCATTCGTAGCAAAGACATTCTAGTTATATTCATGTCACCTTTTCTTGTCGTGAATCATTTCTAACGCCAACATCTTTCTCTGCCCATTAGTGAATTCCTCGTGCAATTTAATGGTCTCTTTTCTGCACAGGAGACATTTTGCTTTAAACAAATCTTT